TGTATTGCCACTTCTTCTACGACCTCCCTTTAAAAAGTTGTAAATATCACAGAAACAAAAAAAAATGCGGTTTTTAACAATGCTAAAACCTGCATTTCGCTTGGTTTTTTTCATTTTTTGTGATACTAATAACAAGATCGGAGAAAATGCGATAACTCATCATTTTATTCACGACACTGTGTTCTTCAAGATAGTACTCTTAAAAACTAATTTTCATACAGTCTTCTAAGATCTGAAAAGTATCGTATTTGGTTTTTCAAAAACTGTCCAATCTCTCTATGGAATTCTGATAGGTAATACATTTGATAGTAAACTTCATTGATTGTTCAAATTACTATTTGGATTGAAATTAAATACGTACTATCGTAGAAAAAATACGTTAGTCTTATGTTTTTGAACAGCACTATAGTTTGAATGTTTATGAAGAAGACGAAATTTTCTTTCTAGAGTCGACTTTATGCTCGATATTTTAATGGTGATTTAGAAATTCATTCAATTGATGGACATGGTACAGATGCATATATATACCTTCAAGTATGAATAAAAAGTTTTCAATATTAAATAGATTTATTTATTTATTTATTTTGTTTTTATTAGGCTGTAGAAGATCACGCTAGTGAATGGTTACCAATATGTAATCGTGCCGCATATGAATATTATGTTTCACGCAAATATCAATCAGATTGGACAAAAAGGAAATAAGATAAAAAAATATATTTAAATCAAATTTTTTTAACAAAAATACCATTAATTTATTTTACATTATCATTTATTTCTTTCATCTTTATCCTGTAGTCTTGCACGAAAGAAAAACAATAGTCACATATAGAATTATTCAATTTTGATGGTCAACTATTCTCAGTTGTATTTTCTTTAACAGATTAGTTTTTTCTTCTTTCTTTTTTTTGTTTTTTGTTTTATTTTCTGCAGTGTTGTTCTTATTTTTCTGTATCTTTATCACAAACATATTTTGTTCGACAGAGAAAGGTGCTGTTTATGTACTATTGTTCATTACTATTATTTTTCTTTCATCACTTTTTTTTTGTATATTTCACTGGAACAATTTCTTCTTTTCTACATCATGTAAAACAGTGAAATATAATAAAGAAAACAAAAAATTGTTCTTTTTTTATTCATTGTAATTATTTAATTTGTTTGGTAATGATGATGATAATGATGACGATTGAAAACGTTTTCGACAGAAACAAGTACAATAATGAAGTTTAGATTTAGAATTTTTCTCAATAGATGATGTTATTAATTTAAAAAGAAGATTACGTTTTTTAGGTGATTCATGTCGACATACTTCGGAATAATCAGATTGACTTCCTTTATGATAAGTTTGAGGTTTAATAGGTGTAGGATGAAACCAATTCCATGTAAGAGTTGAATAAGATGGAAATGAAAGATTATGAGATGATTGTTTATTAACAGGAATAGATGTAGAATTTGGTAATGTTGAGTGAATAATTTTGTTCGATTTTTTTGATAAGGATATTGAATCAGTTGAAGTTGTTCTTGTTGTTGATATTGTATCGGGTCGAATACGAGTAGTTGATATAGGTTGTGAAGAAATTTTACGTTTAATTATCGTTGATGGGTCACATGACAAGCTTGATTGTCGATGATGATAATAATAATGATAATGATGATGAGTAGTTTGTGATGGTAAAATTGTAGGAGGACGTGATGTTATAATTGGAGGATCATATGGCACATGAATACTAGTTGAATATGTAATCGGTAAATGGATTGATGACTGGTGATCATTGTCCGATAATTTAATATGAGAATCTTGGTTTTTTTCTAAACATATTGATGATGATTTTATATAATTTAATTGACTGTTTGCATGTTGTTTTGATAGTTGTGGTTCACTCGTTATGCAACATGTTATTGGTCGTTTTGATGTAGATAAAGTTTTAATACTAATCGAATAAGTTATCGGTAAATCTTTGTCATTTTTAATGTGATCAATATATACTGACATAAGTTTAGATATATATATATATATATTGTTGTTTCATCACTCTTTCTCTCCTATTTTATACCCGATGAAATCTAAATATATATCTCATTGCATATTCTGATCGATTATCCAATATCAATGATGCACATATGATATATATTCTTTTTTTTTCTTATTGAACTGTTAATACATACATAGTTATGTCTGAAATAAAATTAGAAATAGTAAGGAACAAAGAAAAAGAAGATTTTAATTTTTGTTCATTAGAGAAGAACACATCCGTCTTTTCGATTTCTATGAAAATGTTTATGTAAGTGTGATTTATGTTTCGATTGCGAATTGGTTATTTGTCGTGTTGCAACAGCTCCTGTATTTTCAACTGAAGAATGCCGTGGTTGTGAACGATTAGAAGAAATATTTGGTAATCGATTGATTTGTCGAACAAGATCAAAAAAGACCTAGAAAAAAAAAGATATATATCTTGATAAATATATAAAAAGAAAATCAAAAGCTTTTTATTTTACTTGATCAACACTTGCATGATCTTTAGCAGATGTTTCCAGAAAAGTACATTTCCATTTCCTTGCTAATGCTTGACCAACTTCACGACCAACAACTCGTTCATCTTCTAAATCACTTTTATTTCCCACAAGTATAAGTGGTGGTTGACCCTAAATTTTAAAAAATAAATATTTTTTTAAGAATCCGAAGCTATTTTTTTTTGTCTTTTGTTTTAAACATACATTAATTTCTGTATCTTTAACACGCATTATTCGATCATAATATCCTTGAAGATCATTAAATGTTGCTCGAGATGTTATTGAATAGACAAGAACAAAACCTTGTCCATTTTTAACATACAAATCTCTCATAGCAGAAAATTCTTCCTATTAAAATAAATCAAGAAAACTCAACAAAAGAAAAAAAACAACAATAAATCTATTATATTAACTTACAGTTCCTGCTGTATCGAGTATTTCTAATGAATATTGTTTTTCATCAATTTCAACTGTCTTTAAAAAAAGAAATATTATTAGAAAAGAAATGAAAACATAGCGTAAATTATACTTTTTTATAGACATCTTCAATCGTTGGATCGTATTTTGGCATAAAAATACCTTGAACAAATTGCATTGTCTATAAAATATAAAACAATAATTATTAGTTAATTAGAACTAATCTTTTTTTTTCTTGTTACCAAACACGATTTTCCAACACCACCGGAACCAAAAATGCATATTTTGTATTCAGAAATCGGCATTATTGAATATTAAGTTACTTAAGTGAAAAGAAATTTCGTAACAAAAAAAAAAAACAACGTATGTAAGAATAGTAGTCTTTTATTAAACGACGTCAACAGTTATTTATTTCTTTCCTTTAGGGTCACCTATGTTTCGTATCCTTCATAAAATGTGCGCTTTATGACGTTAATAGCATTTGAATATATACATATATATGTATAATCGAAAAAAAAAATAATGTCTACACTCTAATCGATGAGGAGACACCGACTGTAAGTGTGAAAAAAAAGCGAAAAGAAAATGAAGCGTGACTTCTGTGAATCATTATGATCGGTCACATCTATAAATATATATATATATATATATGGGTTTTTTTTCTTGTTTGTATTTATTATAGTAATCATTATTCATTATCGATCGTAATGCTAGACAATTAGTTATAGAATTCTGTTTTTTTTTTATAGCAAAACACAACATCCAGGATTGTTGTCTTTTGTTTGAGCAGTCGATTTTGAGGTTGATTGTCTTTTATGAAATTCTACACGTGCTTCATTTGGGTCGATACTATCTGGTATTGATTTATTCGTTGGTGGCACTTGATTTCTTCGATTTATTTGCCGAACTAAATCATAAAATACCTTAGAAAAAAATAAAAAATATATTGACTTTAATAATAAAAAACCTAGAAAGAAAATAATTCTTTTACTTCAGTAACATTTGCTCGATCTTTAGCTGATGTTTCAAGAAAAGCACAATCCCATTTTCTTGCTAATGCTTGACCAGCTTCACGAGATATAACTCGATCCTTTTCTAAATCAATTTTATTGCCTACAAGAACAATTGCTGGCCTACCCTAGAAATTCATTAGATATTATTGAAATAGAATTTTTTACTTTTATTTTTTATTTACATGAGTATCAATATTTTTAATAGTTATTATTTGATCATAATATCCTTGAATATCACTAAATGTTGATCGAGATGTTATTGAATAGACAAGAAGAAATCCATGTGAATCTTTAACATATAAATCTTTCATAGCAGAGAATTCATCCTAGAAATAGATTTATATATAAAAAAAACGAAAACAAAAAACAAAATGAAAAACGAAAATATTTGTTTTTTTTATCAATTTACTGTTCCTGCTGTATCAAAAATTTCTAATGAATATTTTCTTTCATCTATGTCAATTGTCTAAATAAAACAAATAAAATTTTTCCTTTTTTTTAAATTATATTTTAAATTCTACTGTTTTATAAACATCTTCAATTGTTGGATCATATTTTGGCATAAAAATACCTTGAACAAATTGCATTGTCTGTAAAAAATATCAAATAGAAAAAAAAACAAGAAATAGTAATTAAGAACTTATGAATTATAATTATTATTATTTTTATACCAAACATGACTTGCCTACACCACCTGAGCCAAAAACACATACTAGATAATCGGACATTATAAATTTAAAATATGTTAAATATTTGCGTATGTTTTTTTAGTAATTGATTGAAACTAAATGGTACTGAAATTGTCTTGAATTTTTGCGTTGTTGTTTGTCTATGTTAATAAAAATAACGTCTATCTCGCCTTTATCAACTGTGTTGTCCTTTTTATAGAAAAAAATAGACGTTTTATGTTATTGATAGTGTTTTAGAGGGCGTTAGAAAAGAAAAGGCTACGGTTTTCAATGATAACAAGATAACATATAGATATCGAAACTAGAAATTTTAATATGTCAGATGTCACAGGTAAAATGAATCTTTCAATATTTTAATGATCTGTCTTTTAATATTCGTTCGTTTAGACTTAATTCTTTTTTTTTTTTGTTAATAGATTCATCTTTTTGTAAATAACATCTGCTATTTCTCGAGACAAGCTCCAAATGAAGCGTCTAAGATCAACAATGTTCTAATACAACTTTTTGTCATTCTTTTACTTTTAATTATATGTAAAAGTATTTCTTTTGATGTTACTTTTTCCTAATTGAGAGAATGTAAAAAACTTCAATGCATTTAAATATAAATCGCTTAATGATGACAGAGGACAAGTTGCTCTGACCCTACTGTTGTATAATTGAGAAATGTAAGATATCACATATCGACCTGTTGAAATGTAGAAATGTGCAGAGTTACCCTATCTTGCGTGGTAGGGTACAGAGCAAGAAACTTTTTCTCTGTCATAGAGTACAGAATACGAAAACAATCTACCCTGTACATCTCTCTACTGCAATAATCAATCTGATATCGATAATCATTTTCGTTCAACAGATATTAGATTACTTTCAATACATTAAGAATGTTCTTTCAGTGATACTAAAATATGGAAATAAGATTTTCAGACAAGATTAGACATTTCAGTAGATCGATATATGAAATCTCACATTCATATAATTACACAACAGTTAGGTCAAGACATCTTTTTCTCTCCTATCATTAATGACCATTAATCATCGAATAGTCTAGTCTAGATTTAAATACATTGAATCTTTCAATTTGGAGCGAATTCATACATTTTCTCAATTAGAAAAAAAGTAACATCGAAAGAAATATCTATACATATAATTAGAAACAACTGAAAGAAAAAAGTTGTATTAGAATATTGTTCATCTTAGACTAGAGTTCAGTGGTTGTAGTTATTAAAAATGCGAAAAAAATGATTTTCGTTCAGTTCCTAAAATATCAGGTGGAACTGAAATCAATAAATCATTAGATAGATACGAAAATTTGAAATCTATTCTAAGAAATTTTCACTATTGAATTGATGAGATTTAAAGACGCCATATATTTCAATAATTAAACGAAACAATATTATCCATATCTACTGAAATCTTTAATTTCAAAAATGAAGATTTCTTGACATAGATTTAAGAATCTTTTGTGTCTATCTAATGATTTATCAGTTTCGATTCCAGTTTTTTGGAACTGTCGAACTCTATATTGAACTATTGATTTGAAGCGTATCTTTCAAACTGACAAATTTTATTTATATTAATAAAAAAAAAACCTATACTATTTTATAAAGAATTAAAATTCAGAATCTATTTCAAAACAAATATAAAAATAAATATCATTAAAATATTAAATTTTATCCTTCCATGAGACATTCGATAGTCTGCATGAGTCATTCTTATCATATTATTATTCATTGTCTGAGTCATATTTCAAAATGATTCAAATATGTTTTTTTTTTCTTCTGTTTATTACGTATTGCCTATCTATAAGATAGATAATTATCGACTTTTGTTTTGTTTTTGTAAGATGAACAAGATTTTTTTTTCGCTATACACAAACAAATAAAATGACATATATAATAAAGGAACAAAAAAAACAAAAATTATATCTGTTTTGTATTTCATTTTTTTTTTCTTCTCATAAAAGAATACAACAATCTTTGAATTGATCATTTGTTCGATTAGCTCGACGTGCTGATGGATAATCATGTTGATAATCACCTCGTGATTCAAGTTGATCAAAGCCTTGTGATGATATTTGTTTAGCTTGTCGAGGTCGTTGAGTTTTACGATTAATTTGTCGTATTAAATCAAAAAATATCTATGAAATTATTTAAATAAATAAATATAAATATTCTTAATGTAAAAAAGAACAAAACTTTTACTTCATTAACATTAACTTGTAATTTAGCAGATGCTTCAAGAAATGTACATCCAAATGAACGTGCTAATGCTTCACCATTTTGTTTTCCAACAACACGTTCATCTTCAAGATCATTCTTATTTCCAACAAGTACCATTGGTATATCAGCACCAACATCTTTAACACGCATTATTTGATCTTTTATATCGAGTAAATCGTTATATGTTGCCTGTGATGTTATTGAATAAACAAGTATAAAACCTTGTCCATTTTTCATATATAAATCTCTCATTGCTGTAAATTGTTCCTAGATTAAAAACAAATATGAAGATTTTCTTTTATTTTTGTAAATATTTTTACCGTTCCAGCTGTATCAAGAATTTCAAGCATACAATTAACACCATCAATTTCTACTTGCTATAATCGAAAAAAAAAAAATATATATATATATTCTAATTTTTTCTTTTCTAGATAATTAAAAAAAGAAAATTTTTTTCTTTCTTCTACTTACCTTACGATAACAATCTTCAATAGTTGGATCATATTTACCGACAAATATACCTTGTACAAATTGTACAGTTAATGCACTTTTACCTACACCACCACTACCTAACACGACTAATTTATATTCCCGCATGAAGGTATGGCAATTAAAAAAAAAAAAATTTCAAAAATCTAAAAAATAACAAAAATCAAATTAAGTATTTTTGTAAGTAATTCGATTGTTGTTTGCTTCAGCTTTCATTACTTTTTTCTCTATGTCTATATAAGTGCATTGACGTCGTTTAGATGTTAAACATTTTACTTTTTTTTTTTGTTTTTTTTTTGAAATATGAGTAAGCGAGGTGTTGATCGAGCACGGGCAGCGACCGAGTGATGGTTGTGCGACGCGCCAATGACAGTTAGAAAAGACGAAGAAGAAGGGGAAAGGAAAGGTAAAATTTCTTCCGCAAACTCGGTCGCCATCGTACGCGTCTAATTGACAAAAAACAACAGAGGTAATATGCATATATACACAGTGTGTAGTCTTTCTTTTAGAGAAAAGAGAAGAGAAGAGAAGAAGAAGAAGAAGTTCATTTCTATTCATTGATTCACTTTGCTTTTTCGTTCCTTTCTCTTTTTCCTCTTTTTTTTTCTTCCTGTCTTAATTCTATCTAGATAATATGTTAAAGAAAGAATTGATAATGACGAATGAAATAGAAATAAAAAGGAAGCAGGGAGAAGTAGAAGAAAATGTCAAAAATTTTTTATTGCTTTAACGATTTTTTTATTTTTCTGTACTATAATCTTGTTGCTGATAATTATCATAAGGGGAAAAAAAGAAAATGATTGAGTACGAATGTTTTAGATAAGAAACTAAATCACATCTCATTATTAAGTGTAGATATGTGTACATAGAGATTAATTGATCCTCTGTATCGACGTCGGTGAGAAACGAATAGGGTGGTATGTGAGAGATGAATTGAATAAGATTTTATCAAGCTAGATAATGAAAAGAAAAGTGTTGTTATAATACACATCTAAGATTTCATTTATTTTTTATTTCATAATATGATTCATGATTTGCTACAATTTGAAGTACAATAAAGTCAAGTGTACATTATCTCACTGATTTTATCATTAGTAAAAAATGAGATTGTTTTTTTCGTTATGACACTTTGTCCTTTCCTGCTGTTGATAAGTATGACATTAACAACCTGCTTTGATGGCTTCAATCAATTTTCTTCATGTCCATAGAACAGAATATTACTTTGGTTAAATTATCGAAAGAGACCATATGTTTTATTAGCATATAGTATTCGTACAAATAGAACCGTGCACGGTCTATTCATGTGGAACATTTACTCATTTTTCCTCGGTCCCTCAACATATATCATGCCAATTATATGTCCTTGTTCCAATGGTAACACTAATTATGTTTTACCAGAGCAAAAATATAAAGCGTATCAGACTATTGAATGTTAAATTTTTATGGGAGGAGTATCGAGTCAGTATTTTAATTAAATATTACAGAAAAAAAAACTAAATTTAATTTTAGATAGTTTCTTGTCTCTAGATCATGTTTATTTTACTGATGGTAGAGATCATTTAGTTGATGAAGTTGTTTATATTCATACTAAACCATGTACGTTTCAGCAACATTTAGGCGCCGGTGGTTTTGGTAAATAAGAATCTTTGTGTTTTCATAATTTTGTTTTTATTTTATACAAAAAAATTCAGGCGCTGTTTATATGGTTAAAAGATCCGATAGTGTTGATGTAACAGTTAAAGTAATTGATAAAAGTGGAGTGCCTTATATGACTGAAGCTCTTGTCATGTCATATTTAACTGAAGTTAGCCATCTTGAAAAATTACGATAAGAATCATATCATGTTGTTTGTATTTATGATTTTGATTTTGATCCTGAATACGGTCAAAGTAACTTTAAAATTCATTACATCGATATCGGAAAATTGTTTTTTTTTTGTTTATTTAGTCTATATTGTTATGGAATTAGGTAGTGAAAGTTTATTAGGACTTGTTGAACGTTTACATGCAGACGCTAGGTATGCAAAAGAATCTGATACGTATATAGATTCAGTTATTCGTCAATATATTTGATGTCAAATGGTCAGTATTATAAAGACACTTACTACAAATAATATTGTTCATATGGATTTAAAACTAGATAATTTAATTTAATTTGAACGAACACTTAAAATAATTGATTTAGGTATATCAAAAAAGAACCTGAAATGTTAGGATAAGAAAATGTATAAAATATTTCTTCTTTAATTTTTCTATTATTTATGTAGTGCTGCTGGTGCCGGTACGCCATACTGTAGGCAAGAATTTAATTAATTATTCCTAGAAGCATTTAATATTTCTTTTGGGTTTTTTTTGTTTTAGTGTACCAGAAGTATTGGCAAGATTCTTTTGTTCATGGTCGCCCTTATGGTTCAAAAGCTGATGTTTGGTCCTTAGGTGCTATTCTTTATTATATGCCTTATGGCAAACCATCAAAATATAATCCACGAGCAGCAAATCCACCACATGGATAACGACCTTCACGTGCTCGTGACCTAGTCGATATTCTTCATCGTACGCTTGTTCTTGATCCTCATGCATGAGCTGATGCATTTATACTTTTACATCATCCTTATATAAATCGTTACAAATAAAACATTTTGTTTTTTCTTAGTATTATTAAGAAAAAAATAACAAACTCGATAATAAAATTGATCTTTTTTTTTTCTTCTATTATTTATATTTAACGTGAAATAAGAAGTTAATAAAATATTTTTCTTTTAGAAGATGGCATCATTAAATAATATTAGAACGAGAATTAAATTAGAGGAAACTGAAGTTTTACATGTAAGTGTTACTTTAATTGATAGAATAATATATTTTTTAATATTTATATTAATAAAGACTACATCAACAGATTTTCCTGGTAATTATCCCGGTTATGATGATCGTTTAAATTTAGATGAATTTCGAAAGGTATTAATAGAATCTTTATTTCATTTTAATTTTAATATTCAATTTTTTTTTTTAGAATTTAAAAATTCAAATATCAAATTTGGATACTACAACAACTGAATTTGATTTAATTGGTATTGATGCAGCTATTGCTAATGCATTTCGTCGTATACTTATTGCTGAACTTCCGTCCATGGTAATTAAATAAGAACAAAACAAAAACAAAAATAAGAATGATTTATTGAAATTATTTTCTTTTTAGGCTATTGAAAAAGTTCATGTAACAGAAAATTCATCAGTATTACCAGATGATGTTCTTGCACATCGTCTTGGTCTTATTCCATTACATGCTGATCCAAGATTATTTGTTGATAAAGTTTCAAGTGATACAAAAGAACGTGAAGATGATACATTAATTTTTAAACTTAAAGTTGCATGTAAAAAAAATCCTAAAGCAACAACAGATGGAAATGATAATTCAAAAAATCCTTATATTAATAGCAATGGTAAATGAAGTGAAATAATTTTATTGATAAAACTATTTTGATTTATATTTTTTTTTCTTTTAATCAAATAGTTTACACCGAACATATGGAATGGATACCTATTGGAAATCAAGCAACAAAGGTTTAATTAATTTATGATTTTTTTTTTGTTGCTTATGAAATATTTATTAAAAAATTTAGTTTAAATCGGAAGATGTTGGACCAGTTTCACATGATATTTTAATTGTAAAACTTCGTCCGGGTCAGGTAAATATATATACATATTTCATATGAAAAATGAATAGACTAATTATTGTTTTCTATAGGAAATTGATCTGAAATTGGTTTGTCATAAAGGTATTGGTCGTGATCATGCAAAATTTTCACCTGTTTGTAAGAGATCTTTATATAATAAAATCGTTTTTATTATTGATTTGTTTTTAGGTACAGCATCGTATCGTTTAATGCCTGAAATTATTTTGAAAAAACCAATATATGATGAAGATGCAGAACAATTACAAAAATGTTTTACACAAGGTGTTATTGAACTTGAAGATGATAATAAGGGTAAAAACGAATTATTTTTTTTTATGAATAGTTTATCAATGAACAATCAAAGAAAAAAATTACTTTTCTATTCCTATTAAAATCAATATTGTCATTGCCTTGAGTCGATTATATGATTGATATTGATTAGTCTTGTCAAATTTATACATTTTCTAGTTTGATAGAAGAGAAAAAAATTGTTTAAATTGTTTTCATTTTTATTTTCTCCGATGATGGACAATATTAAAAAGCATTTTCTAATTAATTGTATCTTAAGAATAATATTGAGTAATGTGGCATGCGTGTTATTTGTTACTATAGATATCATAAACTTTAATTGATGAAAAATATTGCAAAATGATTTGAAATCATCGATATTTGTCGACGGTTTTTCAAATAGGAAATAGTGATGAATAAAAAGAAAACCTATCATGTCCATATGTAAACAATTGAATAGTCTAAATATATAGAACAATAAGTTTAATTGTTTTCAAATAAAATTTCTTTTGACACTTATCAATTGTGTGATACAGAGTGGGCCATACATAGCAAAAAAATGAAATATCTCCATGTCGGTTGAATCAAATGGACTAATTGTTTGATTAGTAGTAGAAGTTTATTTGAAGCTTTTTTCATACAAGTGAAGTAAACAAATAATACTATTATGTATTATTGTTAGCATCAAGTAAGAAAAATACGAAGAAATCAGAACGAACTTTACCAATGGTACTATATTGCTGCATATAGAGCAAATTTTCAGAACTAATTAGTTTAAAAGTCAACGATTACAAAATTTCAAATTTTCAAATATGGAACATTGGTCTTTGCAAGGAAGTTGGTGTCCATAGGGTTATAATGGTGCGTCTTATTTATGTAACATGCGTTTCAATATTTAAACTGACTATTGTTGGTTTTTTTTGTAAATGCTAATCACCATTTTCTGGATAGTTTTCAATCGTTTATAGCTACCGAAGTCAGGTTTTCATCATTAAATAGAGCAATGTTGGAGATATCTATCTATGTAACATTCATTAGATTCGAATGAGTTCTTCATGGATATTTTCAGATAGGCATCTTTTTCATTGCCCATTTCTACAAGTTTTCATAACAACCTAGACTCAAATTACGCTAAAATATAACCCAAAGAATATTGTATTCTCTATATAATTGTTCGATCTTTTCACCCTTACTCTGAATTTATGCTTCAAGTAAGATGCTCGAGAATCTGGGAATTTAATGGAAAATACTGCTCTCTTTGCACTGCATTTTGGTGTGATTTGAGCCTAGATCACTACGAAAACTTATAGGAGTGGACAACGAAAAATATGTTCACTTATAAATATCCATGAAGAACTTCTTCGAATCTAATGAATGGTGCACAGATAAGCGTCTCCAACCTTGCTCTATCTGATTATTCTGTTAGATGACAATTGAAAATTATCTATGAAACGTTTCATAAAGTATTTTTCTTTCTTAACAATCGGTGAAATGTCTTTAGTGAGACCAGAAATAAAATTTAACAGTAGCATTTGTTTACCTTGTTCATATGAAAAAAGAAAACTTTAAATAAGATGCTACTGCTAAACGAAAAAATTAGTCTATTCGAGCGAACCGAAGCGAAAATATTATCAATTTTTTTTTTATTGTAGTGCTATTTATGGTCCATTGTGCACATTAGTACTCAGAAAATAAAATATATTTATTTAGGTCATCGTCGTGCTGTTGTATCCAAACCTCGTCTTGATATGTGTAGTCGTGAAGCACTTCGTTATCCTGCATTAAAAGATTGTATTGAATTAAATAAAATTCGTGATCATTTCATATGTTTGTATAATTTAAATAATTAAATAAAATAATTATTTCATTTTCTATTTTAGTTAGTATTGAAAGTGTTGGTGCACTATCACCAGATCAACTCTTTATCGATGCTATTAAATTAGTTATGTCAAAATGTGATCGATTATTACAAGAAATCGATGGTAATATTAACAATTAATAATAAAATATTCTTCTACAAATATATTTCTCAAAATGAATGTGTTTGTTTTTTGTTATATTAAAAAGAGAAAAAATATATAAGACGACAAAACGGAATGTTGTACCAGCATATTATTTAAAAACAAAAAAGAAGAAAGAGAAAAACTTGACACAATAAAATATATTTATATCTATATATATATATATATATATATATGTAGACTGTTCTCGATGTCATTTTTTTTTGGTGACTAGTAGTAATTTAAATATGTATAATTTTCGGGATAAGAAAAGAAAAACAAAATGTTTGATCACACGATCATGAAAATACACAATGAAAAATGTGAACGACCAGCATTCACAAGAAGAAAAAGAAATGTTTTTAAACGGCACTATCTTTTTCTCGTTGTAATGTTTCAGTTAGATAGAGTCGTAATTGTTCATCAGATAATGATATAGATGAATCACAATGTGTGGAAGAAGGTGTTAAACTTAATGAACGACGAGTTTGTTGTTGTTGATCATTTAAAGTATTATTGAATGATGATGATGACAATAAACTGGAAAAAGTAATTATTGGTGATGGTGGTGAACGAGATGTTGTTTGCGTTGATTGTACGGAACATATTGGTTGATTTGTTCCACCTGAAGACGATAATAATTCTTCATAACTTGATGTTGAAATATTTTTCTTGTGGTGATCATGATTAGAATTGATTTGATCAAAATTTTCTGTTTTATATGTTACTGTAGATGATTGAGGATTACTTTGACATAATGGATGATGATGATATTCATGATATTTTTCATGTTTTTGTCGACTTGATAAAAGTATTGGTGCTGATAATTGTGCTTGAACTTGCTGTTGTGCAAGATGTAATTGTTGTATTGAACTCATTTCACGTTTTAATGAACTTATTTTAGATTTTGTTCGAACAAGTTCTTGTTTCATAGCACGATTTTCGACTTCAAGTCGTTTCTTTTCCTTAAATTAAAAAAAGAAAACAATTATGTATTAAATGACAAATTTTGTTTGAGATTAATAAATGTATATCATGATCGATGAACTTAAGAGTTAGTCATTTAGGGATGGTGTGGCTTCAAGTATTTTTTTTTGTGGACTTGAACCTGACTGAGATCGTGTTTGAAATTAAATTTGGATATGGACTGGGAAGGACGCATAGTTCTGTATAATCATATCAATGCCCTGATAATTAAGAATGTCACTCGTATTTTTCTAATAAAATGTATCGTTTATATGAATATCTATGATGATTAATCTTTACTGAGAAATACAAAAATCGAATCTGAAGTTTCATTATATTGCAAGTTTATTTACATAATTTTGATTTCAACTTTGATAAAAGCCGAACATTTAGGTGACTTATTCTTGAAACTTGAATAAAGATAAACAATATTATGAATTACTTTCAGAGAAATTATCTACACCAATTTCGATTTTATTACCGATAATCAATTTTTTATCTAAATCTTATTAAAGAAATATTTTTGGCATTAGCTTTAGTCTCTCAAGTCGATCTCTCGAAGAGTCCATTAGGTTAGTCCCGAACCCGAGTCTAGGTCTGACAATTTTAGACCTAACGGGCTCTAGTCGTCTGAGAAATCTGTAGAGTTCGCTGATTACTGAATACAACAAATCGAAAAAAATTATCTCCTATCTAATTTGGAACCCGATGGGCTCTATTCTTCAGTAAGTATCCATAGACATATTTTTCAAAATTTTGATTTTTGATTGATTCACTATGCAAGAAATAATTATACATATTAAAAATGCATCTTTTTTTTTTTATTCATAAAAGAATTAAAAACATAAGTAAAATATTCATATCATTCTTTCTTAAATATATTCATTATTATTAGTTGATAATATTGATGAATATTTTCAATTAAAAAAAATTTATATCTTACTTCTTCAGCTTGTCTTAATCGTTCAAAAATTTCATTTTGTGTTGGTTCATATTTAGTTGGTAATGAATGTAATGATTCAGTTAAAGATAATTTTCTAAGATTTAAATTTTCACTACTACTAAAATTTGTTATTGTTTGTATAGGTTGTGTATTTGTATAAGTTTTAAAATATGTACCATCATCATTATCATCAAATGTTGATGATGTTATTAAACCAATATCTTTACATGTTGTTGTTGTACGTTGTGTAGTTAATGAAATATCTTTATGTTGAATTTGATTTGATTCAATAAAATGTTTTTCATTAATAATATCATCATCACTAATATTACTTTCAAGAAATGATGTTTGATCATAGAATGATTTTGATTTATCTGGTTCTTCATTAATTTCTGTTTTACATGTTGTTGTTGTTGTTATACTTGTTGTTGATTCTGATGTACCAGTTGATGTACTTGGTGGTGATGATAATAATGTTGGAAGTGGCGATGAACGATTCCATGTAAAACAACGATCATTCCATTTTTCAAAACTATCTGAACATATTAATGGTCCACGAGGTATTAATTGTTGAGCTATTGGTATAATGTTAACTGATACATTATTATTATTTGTTGTTAGTTGTTGTTGTGGTGATGGTGGATGTGTATAATAATATTCATCATTTGAATCCGATAAATTTGGTTTTCGATGTTTTAATGATGATGGTTGACGTAAATGCCATTGATGATGTTGATGTATTGTTTTATCATGATTAATTAGTTGTTGTTCATCATCAGATGAACTTGTATAACTTTCAGATGTTGCAGATGATGATGATGTTGATGAAAAATTAAGATCTTCTGTTTGTGTTCCTTTTTGTTTACGAGTTTTACGTATACGAAATGAACTACGACTTGGACGTGAATCACCAACAGAACCTTGTTTATTAACTGGATGTTGACGTTTTTGTCGACATTCCATAACAACTTGATCTTTACAATGACGATGAGCATTGATACCACAATCTAAATATATTATTAGTTTGTTTATTTTCATTGAATAAAAGTAAGAAAAAAAAAAACATTACAAAATAGATTTACCTTTACATTTCCAACCTTGTTTAATTAAACCCCAAAGAAGTCCAGTACAATGAACACAAAATGTTGGTTTAAAATAAGTTGTTTCATGAAAATCATGTTTAAATTCACCTTTTAAATCATGATATTTAGCACGTAAAAAATAACTACGCATTTCAGTTTTTGATATCATTCCATCTCTATAATAAATACAAAAAAAAAAAAAAAAAAAAAAAAAAATTTTATATCAAACAAAAATTTAATTTCTATCATACTGATCAGCATCAAGTACAGTAAATGTATCAATAAATGGAAAATTTTGTGCTATTTCTTCAAATTCTGTATGTGATATATAACCATCACGATCATGATCATATGTTGTAAAAACTGCTTCAACCATAGCATTAACATGTCGTTGAATTGTTTGAATATCAATTGTTTGACTTACACCAGCTGCCCAATCAGCAAATACAGGACTATGAACTTGTTCTTTCTTCTTATAAACATCTGAACTTGAATCATTTGTTGTTTCACTGGAATGCATACCTCGTGATGCTGGATCAGGCTAAGAATAAATATAAATTATTGATAATTATTAAAAATAAAATAATTGGTAAAAGAAATATCGGAAGTAATTCTTTCATTTTAAGTTCATATTTTGAGTATATAAAGAAAATCTCTAGGGTAAAATTACTCTACAAGATTTTGGATCCATAGACTTTTTCTCTATAGAGTTGTGACAATTTTAGTTAGACTGTAGAATGGAGTATTAGAAGAAAAATTGGACAAAGGATTTTTGTTACTCAAAATGTTACATATATATTGTAGGTTTTATGATTTTAAAAAAATATCTTAAAAGTTTCAGTCAAAACGATGGATACATTCTTGTCATGTGCAACATTTCTCGATTTTTCTAATCTTTTTTGATATCTAATCGGAGCATGTCGAGAATAGTCTTTTATCCAGATTTTATCGTCTAGAAGCACGATTTTAACGTCTGGGAAGGTCAACTCGATTCACGGAGGGACGCTGCCGCCACGCCTAATTATAAACCACATTTCAGATGAAAAATTCAATGTCCAATTTTTCTTCCAATACTTAGTCTTAAGTTTAAAGTCGAGCTAAACTGTCGTATCTCTATAGACAAAAATCTATTGGTTTGCATCCTTTGTTTAAAGATTCACTCTATATATTCCAAATATAAAATGATGAATCACTTCGAACGATTTCATCATTAGTTAAATATGATTTTCTTACCGATGAAACCGATGATCGAGGTTCTCTTGCTAATGAAAGTTCATAAATTTCATCTTCAGTATAACTTAAATCCAATGAAAGCTAAAAAGAAACAAAGAGGTCAACAAATACATTTTCTTTGTCTTAATCGCTCTTTTTTAAAATCTTTTCTTACTGTAAGTAAATTAATAAGATCATTATTCGGTTGTACAGGTGGTACTGATACTTGTAAATTATTTAATGTTCGAAATATAATACTAAGTTGAACTAATTTACGAAAATTAATTAAATCATATTCAAGACGATCTTGTAATGCAACATGAAGAGAAATAATATCTTTTAAATGTACTCCACTATAATAAGCAAATATTTTAATTGATTTTTTTTTTTATTAATGAAAGAAAACTTAAACTTACATTATTGGTATTTTAAAACCTTCACATTCTGATAAATTTTTTCTATATTGAGCATAATTTGAATTTGAAGATAATAAATCTGTCATTTCTGTCAAAAGCTAAATTTCCAAAAACAAAAACAAAAACAAAAAAAATTGATTTTCAATTTGCTTATATTCTCAAAAATAGATCTACTTTAATATCTTCAGATGATAAACACATCATTGTCTTTGATAAACGAGCCAATGCACTATGCGATATTCCACCAATAACTGCTAAACATGTATTAAAATTTTGTAATTCTCTTAAATACTAAACAAAAACAGTAAACATTTTTTCTTTTGTCTTATTAATATTTACTTTAGCCACATCAAGAAATTTATGTATAATTTCTGCACGTTGTTTTGGTGTCATTTTACTTAAAACCATACATTGTATCCATGTTGATAAACCATTAAAAAATTGTATTGAACGTTCAAGACGTGGATTATCTTGTAAAGTATTTTTAATAGAATAGGTTTTATAATCTGTAAACGTAATACGTCGTAAAATTTTCCATTCTAAATATGTTAATTGTGCTGCTAATGTTTGTGGTTCAATATTATTAAAACCAAGTGAAACAGTTTTATTTTTAACTTGATTTCGTACTGTCATTTGACGCATCCAATCAAATGATGGTCTAAATATGAAATTTTCTTTTTTTTTTTAGTATTTAATAAATAAATAAATAAAATTAACATACATTTGTGAAAGATCAACTAATTTCATAAATTCACTATTACCGGATGATTCAATAAGATTTTTCATTTTTTCACATGTTTCTTTCAAATTTTTATCAAGATCAAAATGCATGGGAAAATTTTTCATCCAAAAACTAAAAACAAATAAAGAAACCGAAAAGTTTTTCTTTTTTTTTTGATATTCTTGATAAACATACTTATAGGCATGACAAATACGTAATTGATAGTCTTTACTAAAACGTTTTTCATTTGTATTTATTGCTTTTTTATAATCATCACCTGCATGTTTATATAAATTATATAGCATATTACTTAAATATTCGGATTCCATTATCCATTTATGCATAAGAAAAAATACTTTTGGATATTCACTATCATCAATCACTGTCCCATTTAATTCTAATTAAATAAAAGAAAAGAAAAGTCAATCATAAAAATCAATAATAATAATAATAATAATAATTTATTCTGTAAAACTCACGAAATGAATCGATTAATATACGAATCAATCGATTAAGTGTAGCTCCTTTAACACGTACACCAGACAATATTGGTTTTTCTTCTTCAAGATATTCAGGTAATTTTTCACTTGATTCAGAACGTGCATCAGATTCATCACCACCACCACTACTATTTGTTTGTTGTTGATCAATAGATGATATAGATTCATTTATTGTTCGACTACTTATTAATATTGAATTTGTTTGTAATTGTACTTTTTTACGTGCATGAAGATGTTCATTTGGTTCAATTTCAAATGTCACTGGACTATCTTCATCTAAATCTTGAATATTTGATATAGCTTGAGAACGTTTTATTGTTGTTGATAATTTATTTGTATCAATATCAACACCACTTGTACGAGATTTTATTCTATGATCAACAATAGATGAGCGTGTTATTAATGAAGGAGTAAGAAGTGATGGTGATGTCGATGGGAAAACCATTGGTGATGACGATAATAAAATTTCATCGGATGATAATGGCACCGGTTGTTGTGGACTGCTTGTAGTGTTCATCGTTAATATTTATCGACATGAGCTTTAAAAAAAAGCAAAAGAAAACTAAAAATATTATAGAATAAAAAGCAAAACATATAAATTTCTCTTTTCTCATGAGAATGATCCCTAGAGACTAAATGAAATTTACAGCTGATGTTTCATATGTTTTTTCCGTTTTCTTCTTTTGATAAAATGATATTGACACTTGCAAAAATGAAAATAATGATGATGACATACATCTCAACAACATATTCTTGTTGTTTTACTGAACTCTGATATTCCGAATGAGTGAGAAAGGAGAAAAGAAGTAGAAAAAAAAAACAAAGCAAGCGAATTACTTTATGTATGTCAACGTCATCATTTGACATGATTTCACTCATACATTTTACTTTCTTATGCTCTTTATGTCACTCATTTAACGAAAAAATAGAAGAAAAAAAAACCTATTTTGTCTTAAATTACATTTAATTAACAAAGATCAAGAAAAAAAAATAAAGAACCTTATATACAATAAAAATATTTATCTATTCATATTAATACTTACCATATGTTGTTTGTGAAATATACCGCTACATTTCGTAGTGGTGTCGACGAACGATGATAATCAATCATTCAATCGACGAACTAATGATGCATGTTTTTGAGATTATGACTCGTTGTCTATTTTACATAGTAAAGTATAGAATAACAGAAGAAAAAAAAATCCGAAGAGAGTAGCGTTGATAATAGTCGATGATGATGATGCTGATGATCTAGAAATGTTGTGCGCGAACATACGCGAAAGAAAAAAAAAAGAAAGAAAAAGAAAAAGAAAAAGAAAAAAGAATCCTGTTGCAATAGCAAGAAACGGCTAGCTCATTGAATGAGTAGGATCTTCAACGCGCGCTCGCTCGCTTGTTGTCAAAGAATAAATGTAAAAAAGAAACACACGTCGGGTGGTAGCAATAGACCAAAGGAATAGAGTAGCTAAAAATAGCGAAATTTAAACGTGTGTGAATGCATGCATAGCATCGTTTTCAGTTTCTTTCTTAGTTGTGTGCGTATTTCAGAAACGGCAATATTCTCTCTTTCTTCCTTTTCTTTTTCTTTTTTGTTTTGTTGACGACTGTTGTTGAACAGAAATGTATGCGTATGTCAGTTAAAGAGACGGATAGATAGCGCCTATATGCTCGATGAGGGTGATTGACGGAACCGCGAGGGAAACATAGTCGAGACCGTCTCACCGTTCGGCATATCCAGGGTTTGCATACTCTCGTTAATGGGTAACAGAACAAGACACAATAAAAAAAAAGTTTTTTCTTTTGTGTTTTTTTTTGGAAAAGAACATGAATATAGACAATACTAGACATTGTGCACGACATAGTTACATGTCTAGGTTTTGTTTGAAAAGAAAAAAAAAACTAGATAGACAAAAATAAATGAGTATTTTTTTTTTTTGATGTATCGTTATTATTATCGACATTGAAATAGATCTCTTGATGAAGACGATACTCACACGATGTCATTACTAATAATAACGTCACAATGATACATTCTTTCTCTTTCTCTTTCTCTTTCTCATCTTATGTTTTGCTCTTCATCTCTTGACGTGTATACGCAAAACACTGTAGATGAGATGACATGGTGTTAGTAGTGTGGATGCTCGTTGCAATGACGAAAAAGAAGACGCGCAATGAAAAAGAAACCAAACGACCGGCGAAGTTGTTCTCTTCTCATATTTTTTTTACTCTACTGCTACCGCTGCCTATCTGTCATTTCATTATTTCTTTCCCTTTTCCGCTCTTACGGTCCTTTCAAGCTTAACAATGTATGTGCGTGAATGCAAATGCATACATGTATACAGAAATAAGCGTTTTTTCAACAAAACTGATCTTATCGATGACGAAAAAAAAACACAAATATTATGTGCCAATCACATATGTATATAATCCTACAGATTTGTGTCTTTAGACACTTGAACACACAAACAGATGAATGCTCTCAAATGACTCTATATGAGTTCATATCGATGAAAAGCAAAAACGACATGAAGAAGAAAAAAATAGAGAAAAAAAAGCTCGAGTCTACTACCGGAAGCATCTCGCTTCATCATCATCGTTATAGGAAGTAAGTATAATAAAAAAAAAAAAAGAAGAAGAAAAAAATCGAAGCTATGGCTAATATAAGACGATATTTATTTAATCGAAATTTATCTGTCAAAGTTTATTATTGTTATTATTCTTATGAACATAAATTGATAATATTAAAAAGAAAAAGAAAAAATTTTCTCTTTAATGCCACTCGTTGAAGAATTTTTGAGGTCTACTGTTTTTTAATGTCATACAATAATCTATTATTTGAATAATAATGCGAACAAAAACGTGGATTCATCAAGATTATATATACTTTCTAATTTCCGACATCTGTGATCTATAGCAAAGTCGAATATATATAATGCGAGAAAAAAAATTATAATTGTTATCTTATAAATGCTAACAGTCTATTTAAAGTATTAGATTTTGTTTTACTATTGAACAAGTTAGATCAACTTAAATAAAAATATTTTTAATCATCACACTTCTTTTTTATTCTTTAATCTATATATACATATATATATATATATATATTTGTCTACTTGATGAAAAATAACACAAAGTTATTCATTTGATATTATGTATATATTTTTTGAAATCTTTTGTTTCTCAAGTACTATTTTCTTTTCTATAGCTTCTAGTTTTTTGTTTTGCATCTTGATAAAAGTCAAATATTAATATTGTACTTTTCGCATATAAATAAATGTACGGAGACACTCGACTCATTTGCCTTTTTTTTTTCAAGTAAGAAAACAAATCTATTCAATGAATAATCCTTCCAATCTTTTTTTTCTTCTATTAGATTTAAAGAACTGAATCATTCATGTGTTTTTTCCTATCAACATAACGGAAGAGAGTAAATGGAGAAATATTGTTAGTAAAAGCAATGAAAAAGGAAAAAAACTGTCGATAGATATGATTCTATCAATAATGATGCATCAGGTTATTAAATGAAAAGAAGAAAAAAACCAGATATGTCTTTACAATATGTCAGTTCTTGTTTATTATTTAACTGCTTGGAAAAAATTCTTATCAACATATTGATAGTTAACTATAATACACTCTAGAAAGTTCTCGTTTTTCCTTAGTATTATTGATTGAGACATTTTATATTTATCAGTTATACTGATTGATTTATTTCAACTGAAACATCAATAAATATTTCACAAATATTCAAAATTCTAATATTGATAAATGATCCTCATACAAAATATATAATAAATCATTCTGTATGAATCTATATGATTTTCTTTGTGTCAAGATAATCAATGTAATGCTGTACACTTTATGAAATTTATGACTAATTTGAAGAAATTTTTTATATGAAGTATTTTACTTGAATTCTATTGCATAGGAGCCAATTATAATTATATCGTGTGTAACATTTAAACTATCATTGATGTTTTTAAATATTAAAGTAATTATTTTGAGGGCAAATTTTACCGGTTAAATATCTTCCTTTTTTTAAATGCTTTGTAGTATTTAGAGGTTCTCAGAAGGTTTATTTTTTAAATTACACCAATATATTATTTTAAAAGTCTTTCAGACGAAGGCTCCACTTTCCCTGGTTTCTCAAAAACGACTCGATCGAAAATGATGAAGCTTTCAGGATAGATAGATCTCGACTAGTAGAATAAAATTCGTCATAGGCTCAGAATTTCTAGATACTTCCTTCTATGAGATATACGGGGTGTAGGATCCAAAAATGACCTGAAGTTATCTTTCTCGTAAACAGCCAGAATTTATTTTTTACGGCTGAGTTTTTTTGTGACGATTAGGACCAAGTCAGGATGTATATTTTGTTTTTTTCTTTAAAAAATATTGTTTTCTTCGCTCAGGAGAACTGAAATACCGGAACCCCTGTCAGAAAACGTGTTTTTTTCCTGTAGAGTGAATTTTATAAGATCTGCCCAAAACCACCAGAGCATTTTCTTAAGAAAAGAAAAAATATATACACCACGATTTAGTCCTAGTTTTCACACAAAGAATTTCAGCTCAATCGGCCAAAGTGTTTGTAGTAAAAAGAGAGAAAACTTCAATTTTTCTCTGAAAACGTTGGTTTCGAGAAAAACGTGAAACAACATAAAGTGCCATTTTTTCGATATTTCGTGTTTTTCATGTTGTCATGCATAGCTATTAATTCATGCACTTGCAAACAGGGTTTGAGGATGCATCGCTGACCTACACAACACTTTTTGATGATGAAATAACTATATTAGTATAGATCATTTACAACGCAATAGAGCTGTAGAATGTGATTTTTTGTATAGGGGATCTCTAAAGTCGTTTTTTTTAAGGATCTAAATAAACATGAAAACTTTTCGTTTATATGCTATGCGATAGAGAATACTTGAATGTCTTTTTAGATACAAAAGAAACGCAACCAAAAAAAGTGAATTTTTGGGGTCGAAAAAGGGAGGGTGCCCTTAAGTGAGGCTGAATTATGAAACATTTTCATTTTGTCTTTTAATTTTTAGATGAAGTTCTATGCAAAATAATGTGGTAGGATGTTATGCAACAAACTGTTTAATAACTGATGTCGATTAATGTTGCTTTTCTTTTCAAATGGCTAAAGACATTATTCAAAACTTTCGTTTTTTCACTGAACCAAGTTATTTTCATTTAAAAGTTCTAATTATAAAATTTAGTCATGGATGAATAGTCAAAAATAGTTGCTCTTGAATATTATAGAAGATATTGATTTCATAATCAATTTTTAGAGTTATTACGGGCTATACCCTCACGTATACTATCATCTTTTTCTTTCCCTTGTTTTCTTCTTTCTTTTTCACTTTACTTCATTTCATGTTTTACTGATTTCACTTCTATTTTCCTTTTTCTTTCATTCCATTGTCCACCGCTGTATACATATAGACATATTTTCCCGGACAGAAAAGATATATAAATATATGTGTGTGCGTACATTTTTAGTCAGTCGAGGCGAGGTACGTTCGTCCTTCCGGTTCTTTTCTCTCGATATACGTTTTCTTGTTGATTTTTGAGCATTGATTAAGATTTTGAAAGTTACATATCATATATACATATCCACATAAACATATATATATAGATAACAATAATATCCCCTAATATTTGGTGCCGTGGCCGATTATTTTATTATCCATCAATAATAACATACGAACCAACAACAAAAAAAAAAGAAGTTCATATATCATCAGACTTCTCAATACATACATAAATCTGTAAGTGATTTTTTTTCTCTTTATCATTACTTTGACCTAGAGATAGTTTCGTTCGAAAGTGTCTGTGAAACGTCAGCTAAATTGAAGAGATAGTCCCATTAGAAATTGTCTGTGAAGATTACACTAGATATGAAGAAGATAATTTTATGCATGATTATACATACAACATTATTAATTAAATTTAACATTACATTATCATATTTTTCTATTACTGATATTACAAATAACAGCTTACAATTTACGAAGCACCGATATTAATCCGGAACCAACCGATGATTTATTAACAAAAACATCTGAACATATACTTAAAACATTACTCTGGAATCATTAAACAACGCTGCTGAACGTACTCAAACGATGTCCAACAACATGCAAGAGTCAGCAACGATGATATGTTATTGTGAATGCTTGTCAAATTTACAGAAATTCAACGGTGGTGAAGAATACAAAGTTTTATAATTTATCAACAACATTGAAAGAATTGGAAAATTGATCGATGCAAATGATGATATCTTACATTGTATGTGTACGGCAAAATTGGTTGGTAAAGCAAAACATTGGTATGAAAATAACATGTCATTAGCCCAATGGAAAGGATTAAAATCGGCGTTACTTGAAAGATTCACAACATCTAACTCATCATCCAAAACATTCGAATAATTAAAGGAACGTAAACAAAAATCGGATGAAACCATCATGTCTTATTATGATGCCATCATTAAATTATGTCATGAATATGATCCATCTATGTCACAAAAAATGATAATATCATGGTTGAAAAATGGAATTGAAGACTCATTAAAAATCCAAATTACAAACGACAAATGAAGTTATTATCTGAATCAGCTCGAACAACGCAAACATTTTTAAAAATTGCAAAAGATGAAGAAGAATTACAAGAAGAAAATGTTCCAGGACCTAAACCAACAGCACCTTATGTACCATATTCTGCAAATATAGTATCAACAACATTAACGCAAACGGACGATATACATTCAAACGTATCGAAGCATCCATATTCTTCACGAACAACTACACCACATGAATCTGAAAGTCTTCACCAACAGTGAAAAAACATTAATGTACCACAACGACCGCCGCATGAATTCGTTATAAATCATCAGCAACAACAACTATATATTATGAAGATGTATCTGATGATGAAGAAATTATTAATCATGGCAATGATCAAGAACCGATGAATTTATCTTCATTTGATGATATTGAAGATCATGTGGAAATTTATGCACCATCTGAAATTTTAACGTTAAATGATGATAATATACATAGTGAACCAATGGGAAATATATTAACAAGGGTTCATAGGTAAGATGAATCCTATGAAATTGTAAGTGATGATGATTTAAATAGCTTTTCACTTCCAGAAATAATAAAAGTATATTTACCTCATAAACCACGTCATTCAAATGAACATGAAACATATCAAGAACAATTATTCAATTATAATGATGATGAAGGGGTTCATGCTCGAGATAAATCCTCAAATGAAATTGAAAGTATCGCCGACGATGATATAATACAAAATACGACAGTAAATCAACGTCAACAAAATCGATAGCATCAACATTACAAATTATTAACAAGAAATCAAAGAAAAAAATCGAAAAAACCGAGCAAATAGATCTCGGTATGATGTAATTCGATCCATTTATTATAAATTTATCATTAGAAATATTAAGAGAACCTTAATATTTATGAATATTTCATATGTGAATATCAACGTCGTTGCAGGGATATTATTTTTGGGTGTGAAAAACGAACAAATACGAAAAGAAGTCGACGAAATATTACATAGTGGCTTATTCACCAAGCAACATTGCTATCGTATTCGAAAGAAACTACATCTCGATGAACAAACAAATAAATAAAAAGAATGATTTTTGTAGGACAATATTTTTTTTCTGCTAAAACATCTACTAGTTTTTTCTTTCTCTTTCGTTTTTTGCCTTTGTTATTTGTTGTCATGTTTAGTTTGATCAAAAAAAGTGAGCTCCACACGTAAACTCCAAATTTGGAGCTCACTTATGCATCCTAATTTTAATACATAATTCTGAAAACTGTTGAATTACTCGAAAAAAGTTTGATTCCAAAACAGAACAAAAGTACTCATAACCCGAAAGTGTCATTCTCACAACAGAACACAATTGTTCTGTTGTGAGAATGACACTTTCGGGTCCAAAGTCTAAGTGTTCTGTTTTCGGGACAAAACTTCATTGAGCAGCATCGTAGTTGCAAGGGTTATTTCACAAAGTGTTCATGTGTAGGTGAGCTCCAAATTTGGAGTTTACGCAGTTTGGAGCTCATTTGTTTTGACCTTTTAGTTTATATATATTTTGTTGCTATTGTTGTTAATCTTATCTCTCTTTTTTATAACCATGTGTGCGGACACACATCTTTCAACAGAGGGGTCGACTATTATGGGCTATACCCTCATATATATTAGCACCTTTTTCTGTCCCTTGTTTTCTTCTTTCTTTTTCACTTTACTTCGTTTCATGTTTGCACTGATTTCACCTCTGTTTTTCTTTTTCTTTCATTTCGTTGTCCACCGCTATATACATATAGATATGGTTCCCTGGATAGAAAAGATATATAAATATATTATGCGTGCATACATTTTTAGTCAATCGAGGCGAGATACGTTCGTCATTCCAATTCGTTTCTCTCGATATATGTTTTCTTGTTAATTTTTGAACATCCAATAAAGATTTTGAAGGTCACATATCATATATACATATCCACATAAATATATATTTATATAACAATAATATCCCCTAATAAGAGTATTATGAAAAATTAAATGTTGCTATATAGATTTCTAATTATTTTATAAGAAAGCTTAATACAAACGTTTCATGAACCAAGATTTTTCGATTGTCAACACAATAATTGAAAAAACTTCTTCTAGTCGAACATCTTGTAAGCAATATCTTGATAAGATCTTGAAAAGATAATTTGTATGCGAATATCTTGGTTGTATTGGATAAATCTGTACTTAAGATCTTGTTAAGATCATAGAACAGATATCGTTTACTATTATCTTCTCATAAAATCTTGAGTAAAAGAGCGACATCATTAGTGTTTACATACTGACTAGTCAGTCACCGTTTTTTAATGCATACAGAGCCATATATAAACAACGTGATTGAACATAGAAAACATATATTTTCAACATAGTTTATTTTTTAAAACTATTTCTCGAGTGTTAATCATTCGAGCACATGCTGATCTCGATCGATGATTGAGAGAGGGTTATCCTGAAGCAGTCTGGTGAAGATCGCGCCATCTCAAGGTCAGGCAGATTTTAAGATCTGACTTGCTTCAATTATTTGGGATAGGAATAATTAAAATGAAAATAAATTGAAAAAATGTCATAACATGGTTTTACAGAAACAAAAAATGCGCTATTTGATAGGTTCGAAATACGCTTCCAAAAATGTATTAAGCATTGCGTTGCAAATCACGTCGCATGCAACACGTTTCATCTTAGTATGCATCCAAGATCTTATGGATCCACACCTAAGATCTTATGAATCTGTACCCAGATCTGATTCAAGATCTTGGTACAAGATAATCATATTATCTTGTACCTGAATTTTCAAGATCTGTTAATATTTTTGTACCTTGTATGTTGGCCAAGATCTTGCTTACAGGATGTTCCACTAGGGTCATTATGATTTTTGTCATCAAAACACTAAAGATTGACTATATCTCAACATTATGGCTAATATTTAAAGTAGTATAGAAATCTTCTACATAGAATAATTTACTCTTTGAATCAAGATAGCCTTTAATATACCGTATATTTTCGAATTCAAAATTATATTGTCAAATGCCATAGGTCAGATAACATATTCTGTCAAAAAAACTCAATTGAATTGAATGTAATGAGGTAAAAAGAGAAGTTTATGAAGAAAAATCCTTAGAAATTAGAAACAATGGAACTTAATAAAATGTGGATCATAACGAACCAGACTAAACGTAAATGCCATTTCTCAATCATTTACTATAAACTGTTCACTTCACTACGAAAATATTCTCGATTAAAACGTCTATCTTTCAAAACTTTAAACGATAGTTTAATTTAAAAATTGAGGACACAATAAATGAAAAATAAACAAAATTTAATATTAATTTTAGAATCTACTTGATGTTTCGTGAATTTTAGCGAAAATCTGCCCCACTGCGATTCGCCAGCCACGAAGTCTCGTAGAGAACCAAATTCTGTATTTTTTACTGCTCGAATCAGGACTTTGCAAGTGAAGTTTACTTTAAAAAAGCTTCATTGTTTAAAAAATCATGCCAAAACCACGATGAAGAATATTTTCAAGAGATTTCCAACATTCTAGAAAAGCTTGAATATTCGACAGTGGATCAGCCAAATAGAGGACAAACTGTTTTTGTTTTTAAGATCCATCTTCATGATCCTCGATACTTTTGCAAAGCACGAACAACAATGTGTCACAGTTAACATATACAGGATATATAAACGTTTGGGTTGTCGTGCAAAGGCAAAATGTTCATTTTAAAAATGAAGTTCTTAAATGAATATTTTATATGAATATAAATGAGAGGAAAATTGTATTTACATTTAGTTCGATTCATTATAGTTCACCCATTAACTACAGATAGTACGTCGAATAATTTACAACAACTGTATCATACTACGATTCAAATTGACAGTTTTATTTAGCATCTATTTGCAAAGAAAAACTTCTTTTGATTGGCATCTGACATTGTCAGACAGAAATGTTCTATATCTAAACATCTTATATTACTTAAGATAATTTTCTGGAAATATAAAATAAACATACATATAGATTATTTAGTACAAGTTCGAGGTACCCATTGCAGCGGCAGTTATTTTCCTGAGAACATTACAGAACTGCATCAATATGCACAGAATTTCCGTATTCACAAATATAATACTATGAGACTTGATAAATTTCATGAATAAGTAGCACGAGTTTTAATTCAATAATGTCGTATAATTAAAATTCGAAATATTTTTTTGCATACTATCGCGGCACGACAATGATTGTTTTCATCCAATGAACCTCTGCAGTCCTACAAGAAAACTCTTGAGCTGTCCCCTTCTGATTTCAATGATTTTTTGCCTAGATGTACTCCATAGTGTTCTAATAAAAACTCTAAGAGGATTTGAATTCCTATTGATACTTGATTAAGCTGTCGAATGTTTAATATGTCTATTTTCTAGACATCCACGGTTTTCGAAAAACTTGTATTTTTTTTTGAGTTTTGATCTGAAACTGTGTACATATAGAGAACTCAACTAGACTAGGTTCCATAAAAAAATTCAGAAGTTTTGAATACAACCTCTTTGAAATATGAAGCTTTCTAAAAATGCATGTTGTATACATTATCCATGGAAAAGAGTTTATATCTTGAAAGTCTCATATATTGAAGAGACTTCATTCAAAACTTCTGAGTTTTTTTTTATAGAAGCTAATCTAGTTTATTTTTCAATATACACAAAGTTTCAGATGAAAATTCGAAAATACGATTTTCCCGAAAATCTGGATTCGCTAGAAAATAGCCATATTAAAAATTCGATAGCTTAGTTCAAATATCAATAGGAACCTAAATCCTTTTAGAGTTTTCATTGAAACACGATGTCGAATATATAGGCAAAAAGAAATTATTGAAATCGAAAGAGAGCAACTAAAGAGGTTCTCTCATGAATAAAACTATGATAATTATTCAGTTCTAATGTCAATTGTTGTCCAATGAAATAATGAAGTAGTATCTAATTTAAAAAATCTCTTTGACGATCTCTTTACACATAGTAAAAGTACTGTTTTAAAAAGACTAATGTGAAAACTTTCTTATGAGCTAATCAAATCGAAAGAAAACTCAATTGAATTGCTATCAGCTATTTTCAAAACTTTAGAATATTAACTAGGGATGCCCGACTGAGATGAGTCGAAGATGACTCCAATCTTAGAAAATTTTCGTTTTATCCTAGCGAAACTAAACAATTTTCTTCCTTTTTTTTTGTTGCTAACGAACCCCCGCAACAAGGGTGTACCTCCCTCAAAAAAGTCGTGGACTCTACGTTCTCAGTCGTCGCTTCCTCTAACCTTGGTGATCTCGAGAATTCGAATTCAATGATCATTCATTCAAAAAATTTTTGTCAATTTTTATATTTCAAAAGAATTTCTTCGCTATATTAAAGATTTCAAAATCACATTTTCATTTATTTATTTAAAAAAAGGAATCGTCAATAAGTAAAGAACATTGAACAAATAAAACCTTAGAAATGCAGCCTTTTATCTCTTTACGATACTGTTAACAAAAAAAAACTATGGTTGCTAATGTAAATATTCACGACACTGCAACAAAAAACATCTGATATTTTTATTATAAGTTAATATTCGTACTTGTTTTACCGTCGTCATCAGTCTAAGTTAGATAAAATTATTTGCGTCAATTTCTTTTTCTTCACGTGCACATGTGCTACAAAGCAAATAAAACTTCACACTTTTCTTTTTTCTTTTTATAAAAGTTCTAACTATCCATCACTTACTCCAAACATTAAACTTTCATTTCTAATCTATATCAATGCTTGATAACGTCCTCTTCCGATAGATAGAATACAACAAAAATATTTATGATTCACAAAAAAACATTTTATTCTAAATTCTTTGTATAAAATTGATAAATTTTTACAAGTGTTTCATTTTTTTTTAGTTTATCTCAGTACGTATATATTCGTTTGTTCTTATTAAACTCGCCCCAAAACATATATGTGCATATATGTATATAATATCTAAGAAGAGTATAAGATACATAGGCATTAAGAATAGTCCAATAGAAGTGCGTCATTTTCTCGTTCTTCTCTTTCTGGACGTCGTCATTTTTATTACTCTTATACGATGTTTTATGTTTCTTTTTGCGCACATCGAGCGGCATTGGAATAAATGTGTAAGCAAATTTTTTTTTACACTGTTTTGTTTTGGCAAGACACACAGAAAAAAACACTTCTATAACTGGTTATTCATGTCTTTCAGGAAGGTTTTCTTTTTTTTTTTAATTTTCTCGTCGTCATGCCTACTAAGATAATTTACGATGATTTCATTTCATTCTCGTAAATTCTTCTTCTTCTTGTTTTTTATGTTTTGCTTTCATCGCCCTCTTTTTCTTGACACTAGATAGTTGGCAAGGTTGTGGAGGCACGTTTGTGTGTGTGCTTTGTTCTTACTTGATTTATTTGTAAAGCATTTCAGTTGCTTCTATTATATTGCAATCGTCATCATTGAATTTCTTGCTTCTTTATTATGTAAGTATGTATAACACAATAAATATTCTTTAATCACTTCAGATAAACAGTAGTACAAGTATATATAAAACAAAAAAAAACGATTTTTGCGTTAACGCCTATTAGAGAGGAAGATTGGTTAATTTTATTGACAATTTTCTTATCTTTTGAACATTTCATTATAAAGCAATAGGGTGGCTATCGTCAGAGAACATCCGCCTGTAGGTGGTAAGTTTTGAAGAATTTCTTCTTTTTTTTTAATTAATAAAAGTTCTTGATAAATTTGATTTAGATTGGATGCTTTTAAGTACAAAGTTCACCTTATTTGAAAATCAAAGTCATGAAATGCTCACTGTTGTCTGAATACATCGAAGGTAGACTTTTTTTTTTATTATTTTGTTTTTCAATGAATAATCATAATTTTCTTTTACTTGATAGTCGTCTACAGCTTTGCCTTAGGATATACCTATTGGTATTCATATTATTGGCTGTATGGAACGGATCATAAACACGTATGTTATGGAAATTATATAGTAAAAATTTGTATAGTTTGTTTTTCTTTTGTTTTTAGTTTGAATTCAGCTGATTCTACACCAATGATTTCATCAACGACGCCATCCGACGATGAAGATGATGTAGATGATCATCATCAAGTTCCTATTTCAACATCAGATTTAAATTCTGTAATAACAAATAATGGCGTCGTCAGATCCCATACAATTGTAAACATAAATAATAATGATAATGATTCCAGTAATATTGATGATTTATCTTCTCTTATTCAAACTGCAACATCAACAACATTAGATACTTCACAATGTAATTCATGTTTAAATTTAAATAGATCAAATAGTGAAATAAGTTTTGTTCAACCACTTATTGAACAACATCAAACAATATTACCTATATATACATCACCTATAAATAACGATGATGAAAGAATAATACCATCATCAGCATCATCAACTATATCATCATCAACTAGTTCAAATAGTTCAATTATACCAAATTATCGTTCATATATGACATTATATTTTACAGATATGTTTATATCTGCATTTATTATAACACCATTTGTTAATATACATTGGCGTGGAGCTTGGGATTTACTTGATATACATTTACTACCTGATTATCCAAATACAAGTGCATTCATTTCAATGGGTATTGGATATTTTATGCTCTATATATTATATTTAACACAAAGCTATTCACAAAATTTTTATGAAAAAAATCGGCATAATATTATGGGCTTGATTATGACAAGGTTATATACATTATTACTTGCATTAGCTTATATTAATCAATGGCGTGGTTTATGGAATTTATTAGATTTAACAAGTAATGAATGGTATCATTTATTAGGTGAAACAGGAATTAGTGTTATATTTCTTTTATTAATGAAATCAGTTTATAATCTTAATTCAGCACCATTTTTAATTGGTATTGATACTGAGAGTTATTTTTTACTTGATTCTAAATATACTGTTTCAGTAAGTAGTTGAAATAATAGAATTATTTCAATTATAGATTGTAATTAATAATGCTTGTGTTTTTTTTCTTCTTTTAGACAAATCGTTTTTTGCAATATAATTTTGATTTCTTTTTTTATGAAGTAGTTGAAGCACCACTATTAACAATAGCATGGCGTGGTTTATATAATCTCTCTGATAAATATATATATCCTGATAAACGAGAACTTTCTATGATAATATCATTTGCTAGTGGCTATTTCATATATTTTATTCTTGGGTTTATACAAGTTCCGATTGTTCGATGTTTATTAAAACAACGTCACAGAATTTTACATTCATTTGTATCAACATTATTTCATTTAATTGCATTTTTAAGTGCTGTGCAAATATGGAGAAGTTTATGGATTGTTTGTGAACAATATCTTAATATTCCTGATTATCACAATACAACTCTTTGGATTTGCTATGGTGCTTCTTTTGTTGTGCTGACATGTGGCTTGGCAGCATGTTCATTGAATGGACCAGGTGGATCTAAAGATAGTTATGTTGATGAAGGACCAATACTTGTATTTAAATTTGATTATTTTTCAACATTACTTAAAGTAAGTTTGATGTTTTAATTTATTATTTTTTTTTTTGCAAAAAAATAATAAAAATTCGAACAGATTCGATTAAAAAACATATTTCGTTTCCAGCTACAACGTACAGATGACACTGTATCAAATCAGACACCATCCCATTCGGGTGTCATTTTATGGTTAATAGGACGTGTTTTGAGACAACAGCAACAAAGTCGAAGTGCTTTAAATCAATCACGAAGAAGTACGATGATGAGTGTTGATGCGCCACCATCTATATCTGAAAATGTGATAATCAATTAAGATAGTTTTGTACGTTAATAAATCAGCTAGCTCTATTGATTGTCGTGAATTTCGAATATGAAATCTTATTTGCTTTAAGCTTATATGTATATTTATTTGTTTTGTTTTCCTTTTTCTTTAAATCAAGTTTTTTTCTAATTTAGGGTCGATTAAGTTATTCAAAGGTCAATAATGGTATTAGTTTAAGTCCTGATATATCATCAACAGATACAATTGTGACTGATAAACGACTTTATGGATTTAAACCTCCCTAGTAAAATAAAACTAAAAATTTCATTGATAATATCATTATTGCTATTATTCATTGCACCGTATTCTAAGATAATTTCGCTTTTGTTCACAATTCTTGATACATTTAATTTGTATATTGTTATACCCAGTGATGAGAAAAAAAAGATTTCCTTTCTTTTTAACTCAAAGACATTCCTCTTTTTTTTCATTTTTCTCCCCTGTTTATTTTCTTATTTTTAAAAGAATCAAACTTAGCTTTTTTTGTATATTATTTGTTTTCTTTTTGCTCTTTTTCTTCTCTCTTTTTTTTTCTTTTTTGTTAGACCTCATCAAAAATTTGTTTGTTATTATTTAGTTTACAGAAAGAGAATGGGAAATTTGCAGGCTCTTTCTTTTTTTTCCCTTCTTTATTTGTTATTATTGTTATTAAAAATTTTCTTTTCATTCTATTTTTCCTTATCGTCTGTACATTCAAGAATGTTATTTATACAGTCATTGAAATGGTCAATTGTACATGTAAAACTAATATAGATATCTTTTTCTTTTCTTGGTTGTATGTTTATGCATTTGATTCTTTGTACTATTTATGTGCATACCATTCATAATTTTAAATATACACCAGGATATATAAATAATTTATTGAAGAATATTTTATGCTGAGAAAAATAAAAAACAGATTGTCAATGAGAAAATAAAGATTATGTTTATAAAAAAAATATTTGATTAATTTAATCATATAATTAATGCAATTTTCTTTGTACTGAAGTCACGTAGATCATGTCTAAAACTAATCTATTATATGTATAAATGACTAAGATATTGTCTATTTTTTTTTCTTGATACATGGGTAATTCCATGGAGTTTATACCACTTTTTGGAAAACGCGTCGATTTACGAAATATTCATTGTTGTGCTAGAAAAAATCGAGGACTATCGCTAAAAATATGTTGCTTTATCCGATGACTGCGTGAAAAGTTAATATAATAGGAACACATCGAAATCACAAGCTGCCAACTTTAAGATTTTGTCAAAATACGAGGAACGTCTACATTTACTAGAAACTTTCTCGAGTTTTTCTCTGAAAAATTCACGAATTTTATATGGAAATTAGCTATACATGTACTTCACATTTTGATAAAATCTCAAAGTTGCCAGCTCGTGATTTTGGTTTCTTCGTGTTATATCAACTTTTTACGCTTTCATCGGATAAACTAGCGAATCAAAACACTAATTGGAGACCTGTTCCAGAAAAGTAGTATAAATTCGATGGAATCACCCACATATTTAAATTCTTCTCTCGAGATATTATGATTATAATGTTTATTTGAATAGCTGATACAATGTCTGAAGAGATTTAGAAAATATTTGACAAGAATGAATAGTGATATACAAAATAATAACAAAAAGGAGTTATATTCATCATGTTGTTATTTAATTGATGACGTTTCAAATGTGTTCCGATCTTGTCTTTCAATGATAAATATTTTATGTAAAAAAACTAATCCTTCAAAATCAATAAACAAAAACAATTTTCAAAAGATTTTCATTGATAATAATCAATGTGCGAAATAATAAATAAATCATTCGTCATTTAACGATTGTTGTTAGTTAGTATATATATATATATATATATATATATATATAAAGTGTCCCAAAGAATGTATACACATTTCAATTTTTCGATTTCTTCTCTATAGGTTGATAGTTAGATCTCATATTTTGAGTACATATACTAGGCTGTAGGAGCCAACTAATTAGCATGTCATCAGTATTGGACTGTGGTATTTTGTTGTCAAATGAATGAATGTATCTTGCGTACTCTTCTATGATTGTAACAGGTTCTTCTTGTTGCAGTTAGTGTTTTCATCTTTTTCGGGTCACAATTACGAAATGAACCGAGTTTTAACGCCTTCTTCGTACGAGAAATGAGACAAAGACATGAGTTAAGTCGCATTGATTTCGTAATTGTGACTTCAGAAAAATGAAAACGCTGACTGCAACAAGAAGAATCTGTTGCAATCATACAAGAATACTCAAGATACATTCGTTCATTTAACAACAAAAAGAATTTTTTTATGCACACCGAAAAAAAAAAGAAATCTTGAAATAACTACTTCAATTGAAGAAATATAAGCAAACTCAAAAAAAAAAGTTATCATTTTTTCTTTCGACAAATAAATCAAGACATATTCATCGTAATGGTTAATAATGACGTCAACATTTGCAATGAATACGAAAAAAATTATTCTTCAATTTTTCTTTTCTATCAATACAAATATAATTTAGCATTGGTTTTTTTTTTCTTTGTATTTCTCTACGCAATCATCCAAAAAATGCATATAACATGTTCTGTTGATGATTTATTGTTCTATTTTTATTAATTGAAAAAAAAGAAGAGGCATACAAATATGTTACTAATAGTTAGTTTCGTGTCTAGTTTGACCAGTGAAAACGAAAGAAAAAGCACATTCATAGCATAATTAAGTATAAGACAAAAACAAATGTTGGCACATATGGATTTATTTGATGCATCATTTTATTGGGGCCGAATAACACGACAAGATGCTGAAGAAATTCTTGATCAATCAGGTTTAAAAAATGGTCTTTATCTTATACGAGACAAATTTGAAGAAGCTGGTAGTTATGCAATAACATTATGTTTTTTAAAACGGTAACAAAATAACAAATAAAAACGAAAAAAAAAGAAAACTTTTCATTTTTTTTTGTATCATAAGATTTTATCATTATCGAATTGATCGACTTTTAAATGATAATGTTGTTCTTAATGGTTCACGTGCTCAAGAAACATTTGCTTTTCCAAATAATGACATTATATGTAATGGTTGTCGTCAATCAACACGAAATTCTGAACAAATAGAATTTTCTGGACCAATGGAATTAATTAATCATTTTCAAAAACATGCTGAACCACTTGTTACAACATTATCTATTCCGTGTCAACGACCATTTGTAAGATTTCTATGTTTAATATATTTTCTTGAACTATTTGTCTTTCGTTTTGTTTGTTTTTTTTTACATAAGGATTATAATTTTGTACAATTCTGGTGTGTACCATTACTTACTCCAGAATTGTATATAAATAAAATTTTTCAAGAAGCTTCGAATACTGATTATGAAGTAAAAGAGATTAAATAAATTTTTTGTTGTTAAAAAAAATTAGATTATTTTTAGATACCAATTAAAGATAAATTAACATATAAAAGATATATTTATGAACGACGAGTATTAAAGTATTTTTATTGAGACTTTACATTTTATATTAATATTTCATTTGATTATTTTTGTTTTTTTGAATTTGAGAACTTTACATGAAAATGAGCTATGGTTTCATTCTCGTATTAGTCGACAAGAGGCAGAAATTCGTCTTACAAATGCTGGTGAAAAAAATGGTCTATTTCTGTATATATTTAATTATGTATATGTCCTTGATTTTCATTTAATATTTAGTGTACGTGAAAAACCAGGTGATAAACATTCATGTGCTTGTTATTCATTAAGTTTATGTTTTCAACGAGAATATCATCATTATATTATTCAGAAAACACCAAATGATTGTTTACAATTAGCATCAGCTAATAAATCCAAACGTATTAATCAATTTGGTAGTCTTGTTCAGGTATGTTTCAACTCAGAAAACTTAACATTCACTATAATGTATAAAAATAGTTAGTTGATTTTTATCATCGAAATTATCAAGATCTTGCTTGTCATCTTCAATATCCATGTAATCGTCCTGGTGGTAAATAAATTATAAACTAATTATCTTCAAGAATTAATTTTTCATTCTTAGGTTCTATACAAATTATTCCTTATCAAACTTTTTTAGACGGTTATTTAATATACTTCCATTTGAAAAACGTATATTTATGAAATTTCTATTTTTAGTTGATACAAACACAAAATCTGAAACTAGTTATACAGATTTATGGTCTTCAACATTACCAATGTCAAATGATTCAATTAATACTTCATCACTTGATTTCAATGTTCTGAATTCAGAATTAACATATGAATGCGATAATAATCATAATTCATCATTATTAGAAAATATTTTTATCGATGAAAAATATCTAATTTTGGGTGATAAACTTGGTAAGTCAAAGAAAACTATTTTTAAAACATCAAAATAAATACTTTCTATAAGTATTATTAACAAATGTAATGTTTTCACTAAACGATAACAGTCAATAGACACAAAAAAAAAGTATTTTCTTTTTTGATGAGTTATACATATGAAAGTATTTATACAAGTATGCAACTTGTCTAACTTATTTATGTTAATCTATGTATGAAAATATTTGTCGTTGTTTCATATAGTTGGATATTTTCTGTTTTTGTAGAAATCAATTGTGAAAATAAAGAATAATTTCAATAAATTTAGGTGGGGGTCAATTTGGTGAAGTTTATCATGGTAAATTAATTAGAAATGATGAAAATAATAATGGTATAGTAAAACATGCACTACAACATGTTGCAATAAAACGATTACGACAAAGACAAAATTCATTTTTTCAAGAATTATACAATGAAGGTGAACGTATGTTGAATTTAGATCATCCTTATATTGTTAAAATATTTGGAATATGTAAACATGAAACAACAGTATCACTTGTACTTGAATTATGTCCATATGGTGCAATGAATCGTTGGTTAATAGTAAATAAGTAATATTTTATGTTATGAAAAAAAAAATTTCTTTTTTAAATTTAAGAATCTTTTTATTTTTATTTTTATTTTTTGTAGAACATTTCGAATGAGTTATATTCTTAATTATATGTATCAAGTTAGTGATGGAATGAATTATTTACATGAAAAAAATATTATTCATAGAGATTTAGCATTAAGAAATATACTTATTATGTCGAAAACTATTTGTAAAATATCTGATTTTGGTTTATCACGTGTTCTTGAAGAAAATACATACTATCAAGTAAATTTAGTTTGTTTTTATTATTAAGAAAAACAAAGATTTACTTTGTTTATGTTTTAGATTGGACAGAATCGTCGATTACCATCAATATGGTATCCACCAGAAATTCTCGAAACACCTTTATTTCATTCACAAATTGATATTTGGTCATTTGGTATTACTGTTTGGGAAGCTACATCCTATGGTCAAACACCTTATAAACAAGTAATATGAATTTATTCGTTAAAAATTCATTTTTCTTTATTGATGATTAGGAATTTGAAACGATGGAAAGCGTGCCATTTGATCCTATATCACAAAAATTACTGAAATTTTTACGTAATGGCAATCGTTTAAAACAACCTTCGAATTGTCCACAACCTATTTATGATTTAATGCTCAAATGTTGGGAATATGAGTAAGAAATAATGATCTTTATTATTATCTTTTTGATTGTATTTTGTTTGTTAAAAAAATTTTTTTTTGTAGTAAACATAAGCGACCGACGTTTGCTTGGATAAAACAATATCTTAGTACATATGCCTTTTCTCAAGATGAATAAATAAATCAACATAATCGTTTCTAATATTAAAAACTATTTAAATGTAGGTTTTTGTTTTTATTCTGTTAAATATTTTATTTTATGTATTAAAAACTTAAAATGAATGCTTATTTTCAATCATTCATAATTCAAAATAAGAAAAATTGAATAAAGTTAGGTTATGAAGAATTGTATTGTTTTCTATGATCAATAACGAAGTGTAATTTTTCTATTCTTTGCAAAATCTTTATGTAAGATAAAAAAACGAAATTTAAATGCATGTGCTTATAATGTAGTGTATTAAGACTCGATAAGCAAAGAAATAATTAAAAAATGAGAAAAGAACATGCTTTATATTGAACAATTGAAGTATTGGAAACAGATCGGTCCATGCTTTGATTTTTAGAACAACAAACATTTTTGTATCTTATGAAGGTTGATGATAGTTTTCGCAGAAGAATACACATTAAAGAAGTTATTGAAGAAAATAATTAGAAAAATGTCTTTTTATTTGGAACGAGATATAAATATATTTATCGAATTCGAGAATACTGCTTCTTCTTCGCGGTTTCTAGAACTTCTATCTTAATCATCTACTTAACTGATTTGCCGAAAATAAATTAGTTCGATGCTTTGATCTCTTATAATAACCTGAATAAATGATCTTATTTGGTCGATAGTAGAGCGATCTCCATCATTAAAGTCAATTGATTTTTAATTTTAGAGTGACATAGAAACAAAAATTCATCAAAATTTTTTAATAATTTACAATAATTGCACAGCACATTTAGTAAATACGTTGTCGATAATTCATATGGATTTCATGAATATTTGAAGTATGTTCACAATTTCGAAAAGTCACGCAACATTGTATAAATTTCAGAGAAGAAAGGAAGACTTAATCTATACTTTGATTTGCGTTAACCAAAACACTATGTACATTGAATTCAACAGCTTGGATCTATGGATGACTTCTTATTCTTATATATTTATAGTTCTCTAGTATTTACTTGAAACTAATTTCATCTTTTCTCCATAGCTATCGAGCAGCATTAAACTACATTGTCAGAAAGTTGACAATCCTAGAAAATTTCAGAAATATATATATACTACTGATTGTGACTATTTTTATTTCAATATGCAGAACTTCCAATTAGTTTTAATCGAATGACATGAAGTCTACAAGTTCGTATACACATAGGCTTAAAAGCGAAATCAGTTTGTATTTTATTTCAGTTAAAATTTAACTAATAATACTTTTTCATCTGGTATGTTACACAAGCATTTGTTGAGGAATCAGACTATTAATAACTCCTTTTCATAGGTATTTACTGTCGGAAAAACAAGTAAGTTGCAATATGCAAAGCAATTGGATTTTATTAGACAATCATGAACGAAAGTGAGAGATAATTATACATCGCCAAACCAGTTGATTCTGATATCTTTTATGCGAAGCGATTACTAATCGTATGTTATTTTTTGAGGAACATACAATATACCTATTGTCGACGACAACTAAATTTGTTTTAGTCAAAACATAATGTATTATCGATTTTCATGTTGATCGAGACATCGTGAAATTTAGTTTGTATCTACATACACAAATAAATAAGATCAATCTCTAGGATTCATTTCTACGAGAGTAGTATCGTCTCATCATTAAGCTGAACTTCCATCTGGCCAAAAAATCCCGCTCAATCTAATGACATCCAACGGAAGACTTTAAAAATCTGATCTCGTAACGAGTACCGTCAGCATAAACGTGGACACCTTGACCTGTTCGTACGTCATTGACCCATGCACCTGTGTATTTGTGACCTGCCCAATCAGTATCTAGTCCCCGAGCATATGTAGCTTTGCCATGTCGCTTGCCATCTTTAAACTGTCTCAGTAACTGTTATTTTGTTGCATAAAAACGATATTAACTGAGGATCAAGTAATCAAGAATAGATTGACGAATAATTTGTGAATATTTCAACTCGTAACGATTACCGTTAGCATAAATCAAGACACCTTGACCTGTTCTTATGTCATCGGCCCAATCGCCTGTGTACTTATCACCATTTGCATAATCCATTGTTCCTTTATCGTGCTTTTCCCCCTCTTTCATTTCTCCTTCACCATTATTCTATAATTGCGTGTTGTTTAGCTAAATAGCTATGCAACAGTAGCGCAGTCTGTATAATATATGAATCATTGTTTTATATCTATTACCCCATATGTCAATAAGAATTTGAACTTGTGAAGACTGAACATTTTTTGCTGTTGGAATAGATTCGATTTTTGAAGAAGATGTCACTGCCATATTATAGAAAGCGGTTGTGAGTTGGTCCTCAGTTTCATCAGTAACTTCTTGTAAATGGACTATATACATAGGTGGTTGATCAAGAGGATCACTAACAACACGAAGTCGAGTGCCTGGACAAAGAATGACTTCATTTTCACTTGGATAATTGGTGTAAACTGAAATATCTTTTCCATTTACGGCTTCAATCAAGAATAATGTTGAATTGGATCCAAGAAAATGTTTGATGATATTAACAGAAGTTGAACATGAACTTATGGTCCACCAAGTGAATTCATCACCTACTTTAAAGTTTTTCGCTATATCCGTTGTAACACCACGCCATAGATTTTTTCGAACAGTGGGTAATTTTTGTACTGCTGTACCAAATAATTTAAGATAACCAAACCATGGCTTTAATGATGATCGATCTTCGGCACGTAGAGCAGAGTTAATTACTTGATAGAAACTATTCTCACCCCATTCCATTGTATAGAGAAAAATAGCAGTTGATTCGTCTCGAGTGAGTCCATGTTCAGAAGGAAAGTGGCATTCGTTTTTAGCTATTTTACTAAAACGATCTAGTTAATTGATTTGAGACGAGATAGGTTCAAGAGCTTTCTGTGGAGGTAATAGTTGATGTGTTAAGTAGTCATAGACGGGTGTAAGTCGTTTGGGAATTGATTCTATATCAGTAAAGCGATGCATATTTCAAATGCAAATCATTAAAGCTGTGCAGTTGCTTTAAAACAAGAATTAACAATGAAAGCACTTGCTTTTTATATTGCTGATAACTACACAGATTAGAAACTAAATCGGTTATCACTTTCAACTCACTTTTTATAGTCTGAATTTCTTCCATTCTGTGAAAGAAAGAGAGAGGCTTTTTGTGGTGTATTTTGTAGTATATTTGCATACGCAGTATACGACATACTTATTCACAAGTGAGGTTTTATTTTTCAGCAGAGTAGAGAAGGAAAGAGAAAAATTATGTTGAAAAGATTTCTTGTTCTCCATCATTCTCAATGACGACGTAGGTAATGAATAGAAGTTTTTTTTTAGAGATATAAATAGCATGGACGTCTTAAAAACATGCGTCAGCGGATATATACGACTTAAACGATTGCCGATTTGAAAGATGTTTAATTGAATTGATCCATTGATTATAACTCAGTAATGTATTGCAGTTCAACGATACCAGATACTACGTTCATTGTCCGTGTTAAAGCATTACAAGACATTACTTGTGGTTACATCTTTATTTTGTTAAATCCACATAAAAAATGACCTTTATCAAATATTTCCAATAAAGTATGGATGCCTATAACGGTGGTTTGAATTCATTTGAATATGATAATACTTAAATAAGTCGTTGTCACACGACGTGATGAAATTCAGAAATAGTTTATTGACATAACAGAAATATTGCACATGATGCCTAAATATGTTATTGCATGACTGATGTTTTGCTGATGGAATGAAATCATATTACAAGTTAAAGATTAATTGATTTCTACTATTTCTGTCATAGCCAACTATTCAAAGTACTTCTGATTAGAAATGAGTTTCTCATGGCGTCATAAAATCAGATTTATTTCTCTAAAAGAATATATTTTTCAATTAGCAGCATTCGAAGTTATCATTGAAAACATTTTATGTTGATCTATGAAATCCAGCTATACTCTTTTAGATATATGGAAGTAAAAAACAAGAGATGAACACGTTGAGAAATTTGTTCTGTTCGTTTCGATTCGTCTGAACAATATTAATACACCTTCTTTTTTTTTGTCTTTCCTCTATTTACTAATATCAATGAGTTTTCGGGTGAAACTAATAATAATCCTCCAGAAAACGTATACATTGATATTTTACAGAGTTCTATAACACATGAATAAGAATTCATTAATATAAAGGATTATTAAGAATCCAACTAAACGTCACAACAAGAAAAACTAGAGCTAGTATGAACAATATTTCAAGATTAAAGTTGTTATAATTCTATTCTCTTAACATTGAAAAACAACTATGAGCTAGTCATGCTATACATGAATAACTGTTGTAACAATATACTGATGCAAACTTTACCAATACAAAAAAGGCATTGTAAAGACAAACAAAGAAAATATAAAAATTTTATTCTTCTTTGCAATATCTTGACAATCAGATTGTCAATCACTATAGATAACAGTGCTATTGACTTGAAATTGAGACTTCTTCTCTCATGTAGAAGAGAAATTGAAGTTATTCAATATTATCGACTTCTCTATGGTTTTTCTAATTTGTTTCTTATTTATTATATGTACAAAGTTTTTCTTTCCACTTAGAACATCATGTCAAAAGTAACGATATTTTTGTGAACAAAATATAGAAATAAGCTATTCTAGATTTTGTTTCATTAAATGTTAGGAGTAATCGTCCTGATTATTTTTTGCACACAACTGTATTCATTCAAGCCATTTATCAAAAATTTTTTTTATAGGCATGTGTGTTGATCGAGTTTATGATCTGGGGTACACCACGGTGTAACGATTGCAAGTTGCTTTGATCAGTCAGATTATGTATGATCAGATCGAATAGCGAAAAATCACATGGTGCCAGATCTAGAGAATTCGACGGTTATCGAATAATTTCGATGCCTTTCGATTCACGATAGCTTCGAATATCGTTGTGCGCAAGTAGTTTTGCATTGTGATGATAAAATTTTATAGCATGTGTACTAGATGATGGTCTTTTTTTCCAAATTTCCTCGCTAAGAGATTCCAAGCAATTATCGATGTAATAATGATGATCGATGGTCTCTCCTTGATGAATATGATAAATTAAAACAGAACTAGTCATTTTGAAAAAGATATATAATAGAATTTTTAGAGCAAAGCGATTATGTCAAACCACATTGGATGGATTTCCTTCAGTTACTGTTCAGACCGCATTCGATGATTTTTTACCAATTTGTTTATGATAAGTCTATGACTCGCCATATGTCACTATATCATATAATCGTCATGTTTCTGGCTAGAATTTCGCCAAATTTTCTTGACAACGCCGAGCTTGTTCGGCTCGTCAAGCATCAGTCAATAAGTTGAACACCCAGCGAGTAGTAATTTTTTTCAGCTTCAATTACTCAGAAAAATTCCTGAAATGGTACCGCGACGGACACCAGTCTCCACTGGCGTTTCATCAATCGTAAGATGAAGATCATCATCAATGAAGCAGCGAATTTTTTCAATATTTTCAGATGATGTCTCTGTTACAGATCGACTGAGTCGTCGTTAATCTTTTGATCCCTCCTCGTCCTTCTCGAAACCATTTTCACAATTTGGCAACTGTATTATAAGATAGAGCTTGATCGCTGAAAACACAATGTAATTCATCATGAATTAATTTCTGTTGAATGTTAAGTACAATACACACGTTTTAATGTAGAAACGAAAATGTTCCTTATTCATCTAAAAATAATCGTGCGTAGTTTTCATTGAAAATTTTCATATGTTAATATCATTTGACTAATGTTACTATAATATAAACATGTAGAACACTGTTAGTACTACATACATATATATAGATACAATTTTTCCTCAAGCTTTCTGCACTTTGATATAACATCAATTTCGACACCTATGGTATGCCCTAAGTATATGTAATATTCAAATTATCTACGTGGTAGAATATTCATTTTTAAGATTCAAAAAAAAAAGTTTCTGTAAGATTATCCATAAAAAAAAAATATTGATTTAATTCAAATCAAATAGGATCTCATGTTTGAAACTACTCAAAATTACCTTCGAATACATGATGCTGATCAATAATATATCTTTTTTTTTAAAATTAGTATCAATAAGTTAATTTGTATCATTCTTCAACTAAATACAATAATCTTAAAATAATACTGACTGTAAACATAAGTATTCTTTTACTTTTTCAATTTCATCTCTTTTTAAATTCATATATCAATCATTTATAAGAATATGTGCATAGATTCGTACGTGTATTAAATAAAACCTTGCTTTTATGTCTGATGGTTCTCGTTTTGTATACATCGACAAAAAAGTTATATTAGATTGACGTTTTTGCTTTTTATTTCTTTGCAATACCTTTTAATCGATTAAAGAAGTTATTTCCGTATTAGACAACATATATTCAGGAAGTTATTCTTTTAAGAACAAATAAATGAAGAAAAAAGTGCACTAGAAGTATACATAGATTATAAGAACAAGTTGAACATTCCTAGTATATGGTAGGGCGTAAAAAGTCGTTGGACAAATAAAGAAAAACTTCCGTTCTAATATTATTTATCATGTGTGTTGCATAGAGTGTGCCTATTTACTCAATATTACGTCGTTTACTAGGCCCTAAATTCATAAAAAAAAAGAAAAAAAGGAAATCCAAATTTATTACAATTTTTTTCTGTTAGAAGAAATGATGAGCAAGTGTCGTTTTCTGCCTTTTTTCTACGCCAATCACGATCGTAAATCATCATTCGACGTGTTATTTTATCATACAAATTCTCTTCTTACACTTATGTTACTATATAATTGGAGAGAAATAATATGAGAAACAAAATTGGCACGGATTTTAATCGATTTTCTACTCTGATTTAGTATTTCTGTCGCATAATGCCAATATGCTATCATTTTATTGTTGTCATAAGAAAAAAGTGTTCAAGTATATATGCAAGCATACAATAAGAAGAAAAAATCAGAGAAGAAAAAAAAAAGAAAACGAGAAACGGTTATTGCTAGTCTGAATGTTTGATGAACAACTAAGAGAAGAGAAAAAACGACATAAACAAAGAAATCCAATCATCATTGGATTGATTCATTCATTCATTTCACCATTTATTAAACACTGTTAAAAAAAGGATAAATATGGATAAAGGTTTAGGAATTCTCTATCATAAACTAACTAATCTATTTCATACAAACACATCTACATCATCTTCATCAAATGCTTCATCATCTGTACCTGAAACAAGTGCATCACTTCCAATTTCAACATTTTTCGATCGATTAATTCCATCATCAACAACATCAGTGAATATTGTACATAACAATAATCAATATCATAGGTCTTCTCGTGTTATTCGTCAAATATCAATTAAAACTGATGAAAATCGTTTATCATCATCGACTATTCCGAATTCTTCTCCAAAAATAACACCAATCAATATAACGAAACAACCAATGTAAGAACATTCTCAAAAAAAAAAAAGAAAACTTTTTTCTACTTTAATCACATTGATTTTTTTTGAACTGGAATTCACCTAATGATTAAAAAAAAGAAAAAGAGATACAGATGGAGAAAAGAAAGAATATTGAAAAAAAAGAAGAAACTTTCACAATCTGCTCTTGATCAAAGAATGCATCAGTTGCCAAAAAAAATTAAGTCATTTCCTTTGTTGCACACATCAGAATAAACAATATGATTGAAGTTACACAAGTATCAACTATTAATCAAACATTTCTTATTTCATCTCATAATACTCAAGAAAAAAATTTTCATCCTTTTCGTTTAAAACGACAATGTTTCGTCAGAAAATGGTAGATTTACTTTGAATATCTAAATTCTTTCTCTTAATTGTTTCTTATATTTATCAATTTCATTTTTCTGTTTCGTTTTTCCACAGTACTACTGAAGAACAAAATAAAAATGAACAACCAGATCTTGTATCAACTTCTCTCCAATGTCATTCTGAAACAACATCGTCTATTCCTGGAATGGATGATGCAGAATTTCGTCGTCGTGGAAAAGAAATGATTGATTATATTGCCGATTATCTTCTTCATATAAGGTAAATTAATTAATTGAAAACTTAGAACAAAAATATCTATTTAAATAAACTAATAGTGATCGTCGTGTAACACCTGAAGTTGAACCAGGTTATTTACGACCATTATTACCAAAAAATGCACCAAAAAAAAGTGAAAAATGGGAAGATATAATGCGTGATGTTGAACGAACAATTATGCCTGGTATAACACATTGGCAACATCCACGTTTTCATGCTTATTTTCCAGCTGGAAATAGTTATCCATCAATTCTTGGTGAAATGCTTTCGGCTGGTGTTGGTATTGTTGGTTTTTCATGGGCAGCTAGTCCAGCATGTACAGAACTTGAAACAATTATGTTAGATTGGATTGGTAAGAAAAAAAGTATTTGTTAAATATTTTTTTTTTGCATGATAATATAACTACCTGCAATGATTTTTTCATCCAACAGAATCTTTATATTGATACAATTAATCTAGAAAATAGAAGATAAATCTGTTTAACCTTTTTATTAGGAATTAGAAACTCAATATTATTTAGTCAAGGTTAAGATAATCAAAGAAATTTATCATAGAAATAGTTCAATATTATTTTATTTGTCGAAATTTAATAATTTATATTCTGATTGAATATTTATTTAGGTCGTATGATAGCTTTACCGGTTGATTTTCTTCCATTTGATCCAAATCGTGATGATGAAGAAAGTGATGATGATGAATCATGTTTAGACACTGACGATGACGATGATGAATCAAATAATGATCATTTACATGATCCAGTTATTAATGGAGATAATAATCATGAACGAAAACAAAATCGACATATTGGTGGTGGTGTTCTTCTTGTAAATGACTTTTTATATAGTTCAAAAAAAAAAGTCAATATTTGTTTTTTTTTTTTGTATTCTACTTAATAGGGCTCGGCAAGTGAATGTATTCTTGTTGCAATGTTAGCTGCTCGAACAAAGAAAATTACTGATAAACGTCAAAGTGATCCATTAATTGAAGATGGACAAATTTTAGCAAAACTTGTTTGTTATACGTCAAAACTTGTATGATTTTTTTTTTTTGAAAACATAATATTTTATCTTTTGAAATGAGAAAGTTTTTGTTTTCATTGTTCTTCAGGCACATTCATGTGTAGAAAAAGCTGGATTAATTGCAATGGTTCGTGTTCGTGAATTACCTGTTGATGAAAATTTTTCATTACGTGGTAAAACACTTGATGAATGTATTCGAGCTGATAAAGAAAAAGGATTAATACCATTTTTGGTTTGTAGAAAAATTCTTTGTTTGTTTTCTTTTTTTTTTTTTGTTTATTCAAATTAAGATTTTTTTTAAGGTATCAGGTACATTAGGTACAACATCATGTTGTTCATATGATAATCTTGAAGAAATTGGTGAAATATGTCAACGTGAACAACTTTGGTTTCATGTTGATGGTGCCTATGCTGGTAGTGCTTTGATTTGTGAAGAATATCGTTATATAATGAAAGGATTACAAGTAAGATTTTCAAATGAATAAAATATTTAGTTTTTTGTTTTTTTTTGTTGCCATTTATTTAGTATGCAGATTCATTTAATACAAATCCAAATAAATGGTTATTAATGAATTTTGATTGTTCATGTTTTTGGTTAAGTTCTAGAAATTGTTTCGTACTATTAGAAATATGATCTTTTTTTTGATTTTAGGGTTCGAGATAAATTTGCATTAATTAATGCAATGTCTGTTGATCCACTTTACCTTCAACATAAACATGCTCAACATGCAGTTGATTATCGTGTAAATAAATAAATGAATTATTATTAAATTTTGATAGTTATTATATTTCTTTAGCATTGGGGTGTTGCTTTAAGTCGTCGATTTCGTGCACTTAAACTTTGGTTTACAATACGAAGTTATGGTATTGAAGGTCTTCGTCATTATATTCGAGAAGTATGAAAAATTCATTTTTATTTTTCAAAAAAAAAGAAAAGTTCTTTTTGTTCTTTCTTTTTAGCATTGTCGTTTAGCAAAAGTATTTGAGTTATTAATAAGAACAGATTCTCGTTTTGAAATTATCGGTAATGTTACATTAGGTCTGGTTTGTTTTCGTTTAAAAGTATATGAAAGAAAATTTATTTATATGATCTAAAAAAAATTTTGTTTTTTTGATTTATTTTCATATTCATCATAGGGTAGTAATAAATTAAGTCAAACATTACTTTTATCACTTAATGATTCTGGTCTTATACATATGGTTCCATCAATGGTTAATGATTTATATATAATACGTTTTGCTATTTGTGCTAAACATGCAACTGATGATGATATGCATGTTGCATTTCATGTTATTCAAGAACATGCTGATAGTGTTATTGCTGAATATCGTGCTCAACGTAGTAGACGACAATCATCATCAGCTGATTCACTTGAATCATCTGTTAAACAAGCTTCTACGACTAATATTGAACAAGATACAGTTGTATCACAGGAAACAATGAAACCAGAACAATTACCAGAAACACCAATCGTTTCAAAGATTTATCCGAAAACGAAAATTCGAGTAAAGAAATGAAGTTAAAACAAAACTATTAGCGTAATCCCTCTATGATCGAAATATGAAACATGATGTAGTTGTTTTTACTAATCATAGGAAGGTTGTTTTATTCGATGTAGCTTGGGAAACATTTCTTCACCATTATTTTACTTAATTCGTTAATCATGTAGTAGTTCATAGATTTTAACAAGATGCCATTGGTATACGATCTGTGATCATACAATAATGGACAACATTTTTTTGGATGATCTTTTAAATTGAGTTATTACTTTTTTTCCACAATTGTTCGAAACAACTGAAACCATATAAATAGAAAGAACAAAGCACGAGCTACATTTTGATAACTAAAATTTTTCAAAAAGCAAAACATCTATGAAATGAAATGCTTATTTTATGACAGACTGAAACTTTAAATCATCTGCTATCTTATGCGATGTCAGACGCTCTTTTGAATATGAAATTTTGAAAGAAAAAATTACTCATTATATAAAAATGGTAAATAGTTCTCATGAAGTCTGACACAAGATAAGCATTTCACTTCATAAACATATTACTTTTAGAAAGTTTTATTTATCAAAATATAGTTTGTGTTTTGCCCTTTCTATTCATATGGTTTCTGTGCTTTTGAACAATTGTGGCAAAAAAAAAATAATCACTCAGTTTAAAAGATCTTCCTCAAAATCTAGTCCATTTATTGTATATTAATAACGTCTATCACGGTGTGTGATGAGTCGTTCCGAACATGTCTATCACGTCTATGATGACTCGTTGTTAAGACGTCTATGAAGAGAAGGGACCCATATTTCGACTTGAATACTTCTTTTAGATTGTTTCAGAAAAACAACTGATTATTTTGTATATTTAGGCAAATACAATAACAACAATCACACCACATCATCGTGTAACATTTGAGAAACCAATATCAAATTTATTGAAAGAAAAACGTCCACGTCCAATGTTTGTTCGTATGGTATCTGATGCTAAATCACATTATCCAAAACGAACTGTATCACAATTATCTCGACAAACATCATTAGTAACACCACGAGGACGTAAACGTATACAAAGTGATTCAGGAAATGCTGCAGGTCGGTCATTAAGTGAACGTTATTTATCACGTACAGTAAGTATTTTAGAAACGGTCACTTCAGATGAAGGTGAAATTGATGATATTAAACAATAAATAGAACTATTTAATGAGATTTTTTTTATTTTCGTAAAACAAGAAAACTATTTCTTTGAAATAATGAGATTTATGTTGGTGAAAATTTTGTACGGTGATCTCATTCTATCTATTATTTGCGTATTTATATATTCAATATTTAATGTTCGTGTTGTCTGTAAATGTATCAATGAAAATAAATGTCTGTGTGTAATTATATATATTTCTCTGTTGTTTATTTTGCTTAAATTTCGATTCTATATATATATATATATATGTTTATGTACGTAATGTTTTCTCTCTTTTTTTTTGTTTTCATATTCGAATATAGTTCATTTTATTTAATCAAGATTTTGAGAATTTATTTAAAATAAAATCATTTTCCTTCTTCTTTATTGAATGATTGCAGAAAATAAAAAAAAAATCTTTGAAATATACTAAATTATTCATCGAAATTTTCTCATTGTGCTAGATGCGTTTATTTAAATGACTCTTATGTGAATAGTAATGCGACGATCTGTACTTCACAATCAACTTAATATAAACCAACTTTTTTGATATTTTGAAACTTTTAAATAAGAGCTAGATCATAAAATTAAACTTAAATAATCATTCAATCGATAAAAAGTCTAGAATATGAATCGAAAATTTATAAAGTCATCTCACTTTTAGAAGAATTTTTGAGATATTAATCATTTTTAGACATGCACCGAATCTGAATGTTCGAGTTCAGTCTTGACTGCGATCATTTTCAGTCCATTAATAACAAGAAGTAGAAGTGAGCCAAAAGGTAGAATTTCAGGCTTGGCTATGATAGATCTACACACAATGGAATAAATGATCCAAAAACCGAAGGTCTGAAGGCATACTAAACAAAAGTCAACAACGTTCAGAAACGCTCGAATTCGAACTTAATCGAACCTTAGAGTGTTTCCGTCATTGCCCATAAATCTCAAGACACCCTTGGGTAAATACCTATGTAGACAGACATTGTCTGAACTGATTGGATGATCTCCGAATTCGAACCGGTCATCCCTAACACTGACGAATGAATCTCTTCAACTGCCCTCTTCGGGTTTCAATGATTTTTTTTTGTCTATAGATACTACATAGTGTTCTAATGAAAATCCTAAAAGAATTCGGATTCATATTGATATCTGACTAACCTATTGATTTTTAATATGTCTATTTTGTTGAAATCTCAGATTTTCGGAAAACTTGTATTTTCAAGTTTTGATCTGAGACTTTGTGTATATGGAGAACTCAACTAGATTAGCTTCCATAAAGAACTTCAGAAGTTTTGAATGCAGTCTCTTTTAAATATGAAGCTTTCAAAAAATGTATGTTATATACATTATCCATGGAACAGAGTCTATATCTTGAAAATCTCACATCTCAAAGAGACTTGGTTCAAAGTTTCAGAGTTTTCCTTTATAGAAGCTAGTCTAGCTGATTTCTCAATGTACACAAAGTTTCAGATCAAAATTCAGAAATACGAATTTTCGGAAAATTTGGAATCTCTAGAAAATAGCCATATTAAAAATTTGATAGCTTAACAAAATTTTAATAGGAACCCAAATCCTGTTAGAATTTTCATTAGAACGCTATGTAGTATCTATAGGCAAAAAAACAATCATTGAAATCGGAAGGAGGGAGGAGCTGAAGAGATTCTCTTATGCCAGAGTTCAGTATTGGTGTATGTCTAATCATTCTTAACAAAGAGAGTTTTGTGACTGTCATATGTGAAATATATGCCAATGCTAATCAATTTAACAAACATTATTATATAATTTATCTCATTGTAACGATAAAAATCCAAAGATTTTTAAGATCTTTTCTTTTTTTCGCCACAGCAACAAGCACAACATCAATATAGGTTTTATGTTAGTCATTCGTTCAAATCATATCATATTACATAGTCAAAAAGCTTAAAGTACAAAAAAAACAAAAACAAACAAAACATCAACATAAATGGCATGTTCATAGTTAAACAAATAAGGATAAATAGAAAAAAAAAAGCAGGTTATTTCGATTATTTTAAAGTGAGATAGTATCTGATTTCAATTTTTTGACTAAAATTTGATATTAGTTAATTAATTCATTGAATATCGATCAGCTAATTTATCAAGAGCAACTGTTAATTGAATAAATTGAGCCATCGATGTAGATATTGTTAACATTCGAACAGGAGATGATGTATCTCGACTGAAAAACAAAAGACAAATTTTTTTTGATCGAATTTTAAATAATTCTATTAAAAATACCTTCGTTCTTTAGCTTGATTCATTTGATCCCATTGATCTTTGATTAACATATAATAACATTGTGGTGCCTAATTATATATTTTAAGAGAAAATAAGAAAAAACACTAAAATCTTTATTATTTTACCTTATTCTTAATTTCAAATAACTTCATTAGTTTAACACCATCAATATCCATAAACATTGGCATAAATCTAATGACAAAAATAAACAAAAACAGAAACAAATAAAAATTTAATATTTAAATTTCAAAATTTTACTTTTCTAATCCATTTTCAGCTAATAAATGTTGTGTATCTGTAATTGACATTTTTTCTAAATTTGTTGATAAAATCGGTTTTGCTTCTGATGGTTTGTCTATTCGCAATTGTGACATTAAATGAGCTAAAGCACCTGGAGGAGCATTCGATGTTGTAGTTGTCGTTTCATTTATTGTTGATGATGGTTGAGGTGGAGGTGCAGCTGAAAAAGAAGCACTCTTGACATTAAAAAACAAAGGTGAGAGTTAGAAAAATAAAATATACGTTTTTTCGATGGTGACACCGTCGGTTTTCTTTCTGTTCGATTAAGAACTGCTTGTAATTCAGCAAGTGTTTCTGAATAAGCTGCTTCAAATGGTTTTTTTGCATAATTTACATATAATTTATTACCAACAATAATACCAAGCCAACCACTATAAAAAATTTTATTTAAAATTCAAAATTTTATAATAATGTTTAGCTTACTCAGGTTTATAATTAGCTTGAAGAAGAAGTGGAATAATAGTTTTTTTTCGTAGATAGGCATATTCACATTCTATGCAAAAAAAAACAGAAAAAATTATTAGAGATATTGTTACACGATAAAGTTATTTTTATAAGAAATGAGAAGATTTTAGTAATATTTCTTTTCACTTAATTATTAATACATTCCAAAATGGATACTAGATACTAGGTCAATGACAGTTCACAATTCTCTAAACCGATTCCTTTTCCTAGGACTATGTCAATTTACCGGTTCTTTTCATATGAACTATGTTAGTTAATAATAGTAATGTAGGAATTGTATGCTTCAATTTTTCCAATAGTCAAGAAGAAGAACGAGTCACTATAATCAATTCTCAAAACATAACAGACTCATAGAACTGATCCGTTTGAATAACTCAGGTCTTTTGGAAAGAACCAGTTGTTAATTTCTCGATCGTGAACGATTAATTTTTTATTTTTAGTCTAGACTTAGTTGTGAGCTTAGCAAAATATTGTTCGCTGTAAACTCGTAATAATATATCTTACTACTATATCGTAACACACTTAACCTTTGATAATTTCCTTCTTGAAGACTCATAAAGACACAAACTGAAGAAACTAATTTTGATCTCGATCTCAATGATGATTCATGAATAGTTGATGAATCATTGACAAGAATACGCAAAATGAATAGATTGTAATTTTATCGCAATAGAAATTGCCATTCATTATTAATTATATTTCATAAAAAAATCGAAACTAAAATATTTCTAATATTTATACCTAATCGACAACTTGGCGAATCTTTATATTTTTCAGTCAAACACATAAGAAAAATTGTTGAATTTTCAATAGCATCTGCCATAGCATCAAGTATATTTCCATGCATCCTTTCAACATCAACTAAACAAAAATGAAACATAGATTAATGTTCGAAATTTTCCTCTCTCTCTCTCCCTCTCTCTTACTCCAAACATTATATCCATCAGCAACTAAATGATCTTTTATTTGCTTTGATAATTGTTGAACATCATGATTATATGAAAGCATTATATCTTTATTTCCTGTTGTTGATGTTGTTGTTGTGGTTGATGAAGTTTTCTTTGTTGTTGTTGGACCACCCATTAATGTACATAAACAACCAGATGCTGTTCGTCGTAATTCATCATTCGATGATGTTTGTGCAATAGTTGTTAAAATTTGATTTAATTTCATATGTTCATTATAAACTTTTCGAACATTTTGATCAAAACATAAATTCCAGATAAGTGTACAAGCACATATTTGTTCTTTACCATTTGTATGTTGTTCAAGCATATTTAATAAACTATCAAGTAATTTTGATTCCGAAAAAATCTAAATAATAATAATAATAACAAGAAGAATTCAAAAAAATAATAATTTTGTTTTTGTTTTTACTTTATATTTATTATCATTAGCAACAGATAATTTTGATAAACCTTTACATAATTCATGTGCTTCTAATCCATGTGAACGACGATCTACAGTATTAATTGCTTCATGTAAAAGACCAACAAGATAAGGAATTGATTCTAATTAATAACAAGAAAAAAAGAAGAAAATAAAATTTTTGATTAAATAATTAAAATACCATTGGAATTTGTTAAATAAGTACGTTCATCTTCTCGAATAATATATGCAAGAGTTAAATAAGATATTCCTTTAAGAAAAGTACTATATGAACCAACTGTTTGAATTACATGATTTAAAGTCTATTAACCAAAAAAAAAAAAACAAATTTTAATTTAGTAACTTTTTATTATAAACATACTTCTATACATCGATTTTGTCTTAAATCATCAATTAATTCTGGTACTTGTGCAATATTATGTAAAATTGAAATAATCATATCATATAATTTTTTTATTGCCTAAAAAGAAAAATTAAAACTTTTACATAAAACAATTCATTGAATTATGAACTAACATCATTCGAAGAAAAATGTTTTAAATAATTATCCTGATTTAAATTAGGAATAAACATTGGTATAAATTGTGCATCAACAACAGCCTATAAATAAAAACAATAAATTAATTTCTTTTTCTTCAGAAACGTTTCAAAAGTGTCTCAAGCTGACGGAGGAAGGCAGTAAAGTTTTCAGAGAGAACATCAGAGGGATCAATTTCCTTCCCCCAACAAATATCTGAAAATGATTAGGAAATGTACAATTTTCATAAGACAAAAACAATCTTTTTTTTCTGAAAAAAGAAAAGTTCAATTCCCGTCAATTCTGGTGACTTTGGGACATTCTTTCCATTTGTCCGATACATACAAAACACATTGCATTTGTTTTATCCGTATAATTCCATAATGAATGAAGTAAATAATAAGTAATATGCCAACGTTCTTGAGTTTTAAATACATCCGTATGTATACGTTTAAATATTGGATAACAAAGTTCTAATAGATATGATAAAAAATTTAAATAAAAAAAATTTCTTTATAAAATACTTACTTGTATATTTCTTTTGTATTAATGTATCAATTAATATTTGAAAATTTGATGTGCCATAACATAATGTATAGATTTTATCAAAATATTGAAAGAGATTCACTGTTTTACTAGATTCATATTCAGATTCTGTTAATCGAGTTAATTCATCAATTTTAGAATTTAACTATAAAAAAAAATAATATGTTAATCGACATATAAAAGAAAGAATTCAAATCAACATTACTTGTGTCATTTCGAATAATGTGCTAGTCGTCATATTTGAAAAACGATCTTTTTATAATACTCAATGTGTCAATCAATCAACCACCTACATTTGATGAATCATTTTCTATCAAAACAATACTTCTTCTGACATCTATAGACAACAAAGCATACTCTTTATTGATTTAAATTACACACTGATTTTCTTCGTTGATTTTATTATTATTATATTTAAATTAATTTAATATGAGTTTTCAAATAAATAAATAAATAAGAATAAAAATAAAAATGGTTTCTATCCAACTTTTATCATAAGTTTTGGATTATTGATATGTTTCATATAATCTCAAATGTTTGAAAATTATCCTTTCAAATGTTAGGTCGTTTATTTCGAAATCAAAATCGTACAGTTATTTATAATCGAGCACATCGAATAACAGCATCATTTTTAATTGGTGTAACTTGTGTTAGTTTTCTAGCTGTTTGTCATCAATTATATAAAGCTAAAACGGAATATTTACCTGATATTCGTCGACGAGGTAAAGAACGTCTTGAAAAAGCACTTGCTTTACGACAAAGTGAAGCCGAACTTGTTGAACAACAACGTCTTGCTGAAAAACAACTTGAAATAAATACAAACCTTCAACAATAAAATTAAGTTTAACCCAATGTCAAAGGAAAGTGAAAAGAAAATTCAAGATTCCAATACAAAAAATAATCAAAATGAAGAAGAGAATGGTCCATCAGCATCTAATGAAAATGTTACTTTTGATTATCCAGATATAAAATATGAATTTCTTGATAATACAGCTGATATACAAATTCATGCATGGGGAAATTCTCTTGAAGAATCTTTTGAACAGGTTAGTTGAACAAATAGAATATTTATAGAATTACTACATCCTTCAAAAATTATTAATGAAATCTTCTATATAGATTTCTGAAAGGCAAAGTTTTTCGTGTCTCGAATATAGATTGCGGGATCGGAACTACGCGAAAGAGAAGTTGTTGAGACTAGAACCACGAGAAAAAAATTTGCCAAGTCGGAACTCAAATTTACAGTAATATATTCAATGATTTTAAGCAAATTATCTTATAAATCATATGAATCAGAACACAATGCAAAAGAGATGACCCAAAAAGGTACGAGTCGTCAACTAAATAAATAAAAAAAAGCCAATATTGAAGAATTATTTTAGATCTGATGTAAATAAATTCTGGAATAGTTTTCTCTAGACCGAGACCAATAAAACTCGGTCTTGAAAGCTCTCTAGTCTTGAATCCTGTTCATCACGAACCATGATTTTTCAAAATGTTCGAAATCCGAATACTTCATCCTGAACGTTCTTGAATACTCCTATAAAGCCTTGTAATTGGAGAAGATATAAAGATATCGTTTTGTCAAAGATATTCAAAACTGACCTTTTACAATGGGCTAGTCTTTTGATAATTTCTACTCAGAAAATCAAGAATTTTTCAAAAACATTCCTAATATTCAGACAGGTATTTTTAGGAACTGATAATGGAGGTGTTTGTTTTGTTGTTAGTCAACAAGAGCAGACATATTTGAATTAAATTAAAGCTTTTAACGCCAAACTAGCAAGTGTAAAATATAGACTTCTATTGGCGTGCATGGACTGAAGTATTCAAATTTTAGGGTATTTATAGTATATGTAAGATGCTCACAATTGAAAATTTCAGCAAATGTTTTTCTTTTTTCGTGATAGTTAAATAGAGCTTATCTATTTGCATAAGAAAATATATTTCGAATAAAAAAAAAATTTCACGAAAAACTTTCAAGATACCATCATTTTCAAATATAAGAGAAAATAGATTAAAAATTCTAACTTTTGTAAAAATTAAAAAAAATTGTTTTTAATTTGAAACATACTTTTCTTATGCAACTCGATTAGCTCTATTCAAGGATCACGAAGAAAACTCTGTTAAAATTTTGAACTGCAATTACCTTACATATACTGTAAATACCTTAAAATTCGAATACTTCGATCTGTGCATGTCAATGGCTGGCTATATTTTACATTTGTTTGTTTTGCAATGACAGCTTTATTTTGACTCGAATATGCCTAGTCTTATTAACTATCAGCACAAACATCGCCATTGTAACTGCCAGAAAATCATGATTTTTTTCTAGGAAAAATGGTTTTTTACTCAAAACCGGAGTTTTTAAGTGCTGAAAATTCCCAAGAATCTATTGGATTGCTGAAAAACAGTTGGGAGAAAACCATAGTCGTATATTATGTCTTGTAAAATTGTTCTTGTTGGTGGCCTTCTATTCTGGTGAGGTTTACCATCCATACAGAAAATGTATTCATATAGATCGTAATCAGACAAAGCACCTATTTTCTGACATGTATTATGGGCAACAGAATATTGATCGACGAACACATCTGACTACAGCTAAAATAAATAATTTGCTATATATCAAACGAAATCTTCAAATATTAAAGGACATTTATCTGCTTGTAGCTGAAATGTGAGAAAAAAAAGAGATTTATGGAAGGTATAACTGCAGTTTAAGTAAGATGCACATAACATAAAATTGTTGTGAGTTTTATTTCAATTAAATTATTCCTTCGCTGTAGAAAACTTCAAATACTGATAAGACCATAGATATAACCAAAATCACATTTTTTTTAAAACAACTCTTAAGTTTTTATAATCTTTTGTCTAAACTCTTTAAAAATAGTTTTTTTTTTCTAATTCAGCATCAAAAACTGAATAGAAATATGTTATTTTCTTACATATAAGACAAATAATGTAAGAAACTGCTTTCAATATATATATGTAAGATTGTAGCATGTCCTTATAGACACTTTATTTTTGTGACAGAAGATAAAACCAAATGTCTTATCTCATTCGAGTGAACTGATTTCGAGCTTAAAAAAGTACCCATTTTGTTCCATTTTGGAAAAAATCGAAGATTTTCTCGTTTTAGTAGTAAAAGTACCAAAAATGGCCTTATTTAATGCGATTTCTATCATCAAACTCATTTTTCAACGGAAAACGCACTTATACTTCTCTCAGCTTTTTTCTTTTGAAATTTTGTCTGTGATAAATTTTCCATTGGATACAGAATCTGCTGAAATATATATGGCTTGATGTAGATTTTCACATTGATTTTGAATAGTCTGTTTATTTTGTTTTTCAACTGAGCTTTGATAATAGAAACTGCAATAAATAACGCCGATTTTGGTCCTTTTACTATTGAAACAAGAGAATGTTCGATTTTTTCAACAAAAAAACAAAATGTATATTTTTTTAGCTAGAAACTGGCTCATTCAAATGAGATAAAATATTTGATCTTATGTTCTGTCACAAAAAAATCTAGATAGATTTATCAAAGTGTCTATAAACACACGCTATAAACCTACGTATATTGATAGCGATGTTTTACGTGTTTTATTTTAAATCTAAGAAAATAATATTTTTCTATGCAGTTTCTGATGTTGAATTAGAAAAAAAAACTATTTTCCAAGAATTTAGAAAAAAAGATTATAGAAATGTAAGAGTTGTTTCAAGAAAAGATTCTGGTTATATTTGTGGTATAACAGTATTTGGCGCTTAATTAAACAAGAGGCTGTACATAAACGGCAGAAGGAATAAAACAATTGATGAAGAAAAAAATTTCAGACATTTTTTTCAAGTATTATCCATAATCTCGCTTGTCTTGTGCTGTAATTTTTTGAAAATGTTCCCACGCCGATCGCTTTATGGGTCATGACAAACGAGATTATTCGATACTGCCTTGCGGAACTCAATTCTAAAGAACAATATAGATCTCAAGGGAAAGCAGCTGATTTCTTTCCATTTTTTTTTATCAAATTAAAATAAAAAAGATGGTTTTCAACGTTTTTCTATCTTAATTTAAAGTATTTTATTATAATTTAAATCTATAAGCAGAATCTAATTGTCAAAAAAAGACGATTTGTACATTTCGAGAATGAAATCTACAATAAAAACTACAAAAAAGTTATGTTTTCGATTTTTTTCATTTGTTTGATTCTTTTTTCTGGAAAACGAGACAAAACCAAAGAATTTTAATTCCAGCTGTTTCCTTTTGGCAATTGTTTTTAATCGTATTTTCGAAATTACATGTCCCTACTGTGATGTCTTATAATTCCTTTCGAATTAACATGAACCATACTATTTATTTCTGTTAAATTATACTAAATGAATATGCAATACAGGAAGTAAAGAATCTTGCCGAGAAAAAAATACAGTCATTTATTCTAAAGAAAAACATCAAAATTCTCGACTACGAATTTAGAAAATGATGATAAAGTCTATATTTTTGTCATTTATGAAAGAATCAACGTGTTGTATAATGTTCTCAATGAATCAAATTTATATTTTTATCTGTTTTTTTAAAATTTATGATGAAAATTTTTCAATAATTTTTAAAGAGTAAAATTATCTATATGATCTGATTGAACTGAACTTGTTGAATATGTTATTCTATGTCATTTTTAAAGGGATATATGAGTCATTTTCTATCTAATTTACATGAAAAGAAGTTTTCAGCAGGTTTTTTTTAAATTGATCTTCATATATAATTGAATTATATACTTGAAAAGAATAAGATTTTCTTGCTGGAAACTTCTCTCCTGAAATGATAAGAAAAGTCATTGAAATCAAAATTAATTATTTTCATAGAACAAAAAGAATTTATGTTCATTGTTATAATATTTTGAATAGGAAATTTCTCTTTGACACGAACAAAATTTATTTCATTTCTCATTCTGCAACTTCTTTATTTCCACGGGATAATTTTTTTAAAAATTTTATTTGAAGTTTGTATAAAAGAATTTATTAAAGCAAATGAAAAAAAAGACCTTTCTCAAGTGTATTTTGAAAAGCATCGTATAATGCGTATTGATAATAGGCAAATACTTTAGTGTTCTTTTTTTTGTTTTATTTATTCTAAAACATTTTTAAAGGATTTCCACTTCCGTTCATCTTAACATTTCATTTCCTCATTGACAACTCTTATGTACTAAGAGTACGGATTCA